GGTCTAAACCAGGTCTAAACCAGGACTAAACCAGAACTAAAACCAGGACTAAAACCAGAACTAAAACCAGGACTAAAACCAGGACTAAACCAGGACTAAACCAGAACTAAAACCAGAACTAAAACCAGGTCTAAATCAGGACAAAACCAGGACTAAACCAGAACTAAAACCAGGTCTAAACCAGGACTAAACCAGAACTAAAACCAGAACTAAAACCAGGTCTAAACCAGGTCTAAATCAGGACTAAACCAGGACCAAACCAGAACTAAAACCAGAACTAAAACCAGGTCTAAACCAGGACTAAACCAGAACTAACACCAGGACTAAAACCAGGATTAATCCATTCCAGGACTAAACTAGGACTAAAGTAGGTCTAAACCAGGACTAAAACCAGTGATCTCATATATAAAGCATTTCTCTATCAATAATATTTTTAATATGGTTAAGGAAAGACTGGACTTTTTATTGTCTTTAAGTAGACAAAAGTTATTATGTTCAGATTTCCTCGTCTTTGCTACTTTACAGCAAACAGTTTCTTATTCATGGAGACTTGGGCTCAACAGCCAATTTGGAGAGATTTGTTAAACAATAAATGACTTTATAAAGTCACTTTTTTTAATCTACATCAGTCTTTTGATCTGCTACAATAATGTAATAATGAATTTAAATGAAAATACCTCAAATTGAAGGCTTTTCTCAGCAATTTTTAGGTGAGATTAAAATGAGATTAATTAGATAAATTAATTACAGATCATAATTAATTAATCTCTAAATTTTTTAATCGCATGACAGCACGTATATATATATATATATATATATATATATATATATATATATATATATATATATATATATATATTTATATATATATATATTTATATATATTTATATATACTAGGGATGGGCATTCGATGAAATTTTCTTAATCGATCGTCGAGAGAATTAACGGTCAATTACTGATTAATCATTAAGGTTTTTATATTAAAATGATCACTCTCCTCTGCACTCCTAATCTGCATAAATAAATTCAACTTTACGACAAATAAACCGTAACGACTCTAGAGCCACATCAGCCCGTTTATTAGAATGTGTTTAATTCAGTTTTGCGCAACTCTCACAGAAACGAAACTTAAAACCGCATCGCTAATTTGCATAAATTAAGCAAAGATAAAACTGCAGCTCTTGTGTCGCTGATGTGGTCAATTTCTGTTGGATTAAAAGACACGACTCAGTGGAATACAGGTTAGTGTGACCATATTTGCGTTTGTCAAAACCAGGACACCGTACGGTGGTGGGAGGTGGGGACTCGTCATCGATATTGGGCGACTCTCACCTGGCAAAGCTTTTTCCCACTGGACACCGAAACATATGTGCTGCTTTGTGCACTGTGCACATGGACTCACACTTGTCCCGAACGCAACGGAAAGTGTGGAATTTCTTGTACAACTCATCGTTAAAATAAGCATTTGTGCTTCGGTACATTGCAGGCGGACTGATTGTTTGTGTCTGCTCGCTCCTTCTGAGTGCAGAGAGCTACTTGTACGGACCCCTGTTTGGTCATGCTACGCACAGCAACCTACATTCGGTTTGTCGATTAAAATTTACGTAATCGATGAAATTCTAATGATCAATTATCGATTAATCGACTAATCATGCTCATCCCTAATATATACATATACAGTCCCTGACAAAAGCTTATAACCTCACTTTAAATTAATCGATTGGTTTTAGAAATGTCTCATATGAAAGCTAAAACCCTCCCAAATTATGTTCAATATACTAAAATAAATTTGCTTCACTGAAGAAATATTGATCATTTAATGAACACAGAAAGGTCAGATTTTGGCAAGACAAAAGTCTTGTCGCCTACAGAAAATTGAACAAATAATTTACTTCAAATACAAAAATATGTTGCATAATGTCAGTGAATTAAGTAGTGGCGCTGTGAGATCCATATTTAATATCTTGTATGACTTGAAGGACGCATCCATGCGGTTCCACAATGATTCATACAATTTGTTGATGAAGTCATCAGGAATAGCAAAGAAAGCGTCTTACATGCCTCCCAGAGTTCATCAAGATTCTTTGGTTTTGCCTTCCATGCTTCCTCTTTCATTCTACCCCAGACATGCTCAATGATGTTCATGTCTGGTGACTGGGCTGGTCAGTCCTGGAGCACCTTGATCTTCTTCACCTTGAGAAACTTTGATGTAGAGATAGAAGTATGCGATGGAGCACCATCCTGCTGCAAAATTTGACCCCTTTTATGGTTGGGAATGTAAGAGGAGCTAATACTTCTTGATATTTTAGGCTATTGATATTGCCTTCCACCCTGCAAATGTCTCGCACACTCCCATACTGGATGTAATCCCAGACCAGGATTTTTCCGCCACCAAACTTAACTGTTTTCTGGGTGAATCTTGGATCCATGCGGGCTCCAGTAGGTCTCCTGCAATATTTGCGGCGGCTGTGATGTAATTCAACCGAGGATTCATCTGAGAAATCCACCTTCTGCCACTTTTCCAGTGTCCATCCTTTTATCAGGCTGTGGCCCTTGGCAAAAGCCACACGGTTTTTTAATTGCCTTTTGTTTAGTGCTGGTTTCTGTGCACTGATTTGACCGTGGAGGCCATTTCGAGACAGAATTCTACAAACTGTTGTGGTTGACACAGGGACTTGAGGTGACCAGGCCTGGTGGAGTCTGCTGCAGTGGAAAAGGGGCTGGCCTTGGATTTTTGAATCAACAAACGGTCCTCTCGAGCAGTTGTCTTGCAGGGTCTGCCGGACCTGGGCTTGTCAAAAACATCTCCAGTCATTTCAGATCTTTTTCTTATTCTTTGTACTTGATGCTGAGACACATTGAAGGTGTCACCACCTCAGCAGTGGATCTGGTCTTCAGCCTCTTGATAATTAATGCTTTGGTCTCAGGGTGGATCTTAGGCATGTTGTCAGAGGTCAAGTTGCAGTTGATGTGAAGGTCTGGTGTGCTGGGGTTCTTTTTATACACACCCACTAATTGATTGATCAGTAACTGATCACAGGTGAGGCTGTAATCTAGGATTGGGTGCATCATATGACAAGGCCACAAGACTTTTGTCTTGCCAAAATCTGACCTTTCTGTGTTCATTAAATGATCAATCTTTCTTCAGTGAAGCAAATTTATTATTTATTTTAGTATATTGAGCATATATATACACACACACACACACACACATATATATATATATATATATATATATATATATATATATATATATATATATAGTGCGATTAAAAAAAATTTAGAGATTAATTAATTATGATCTGTAATTAATCTAATTAATCTCATTTTAATCTCACCTAAAAATTGCTGAGAAAAGCCTTCAATTTGAGGTATTTTCATTTAAATTCATTATTACATTATTGTGGCAGATCAAAAGACTGATATAGATTAAAAAAAGTGACTTTATAAAGTCATTTATTGTTTAACAAATCTCTCCAATTTGGCTGTTGAGTCCAAGTCTCCATGAATAAGAAACTGTTTGCTGTAAAGTAGCAAAGACAAGGAAATCTGAACATAATAACTTTTGTCTACTTAAAGACAATAAAAAGTCCAGTCTTTCCTTAACCATATTAAAAATATTATTTATAGAGAAATGCTTTATATATGAAATCACTGGTTTTAGTCCTTGTTTTAGTCCTGGTTTAGACCTGGTTTAGACCTGCTTTAGTCCTATTTTAGTCCTAGTTTAGTCCTAGAATGGATTAATCCTGGTTTTAGTCCTGGTGTTAGTTCTGGTTTAGTCCTGGTTTAGTCCTGGTTTAGACCTGGTTTAGACCTGGTTTAGACCTGGTTTAGACCTGGTTTAGACCTGGTTTTAGTTCTGGTTTTAGTTCTGGTTTAGTCCTGGTTTAGACCTGGTTTTAGACCTGGTTTTAGTTCTGGTTTTAGTTCTGATTTTAGTCCTGGTTTAGTCCTGGTTTAGTCCTGGTTTAGTCCTGGTTTAATCCTGGTTTAGTTCTGGTTTAGACCTGGTTTAGTCCTGGTTTAGTCCTGGTTTAGTCCTGGTTTAGTCCTGGACTGTATTAGTCCTGGTTTTAGTCCTGGTGTTAGTTCTGGTTTAGAGGCGCACAGGAGGAAGCGCGGTTTACGCAGCGTACGCGAGAAAACACGATCCACACGCGGCTCACGGGAGCACGTCGGTGTCCGTGCAGTGTCTACGGAAGGAAACGTGGTCTGCGCGTTCTCAGGTTAATGACGATGATGAAGGTGTGTGTTTGTGTTTGTTTGTTTGTGTGTGTTTGTTTGTGTGTGTTTGTTTGTGTTTGTGTTTGTGTGTGTTTGTGTGCGTGTCCCCTCATGTGGCAGGTCACTATAGGACAGTAGTGCAGACATCATGAGTCTATGCAGGTTGTTTTCAGGCGATATTATATTTGTTATTTTCTTTTATATTTCACGTCGGGAGAATAATTTCCAAGACACGAATGCGTTTTTACCTGTGCACTGCTGCCTCTGTTCTACTGGCTCTTCGACCTCGTCCATTGTGTGACTGACGCCGCCAACGTTAACAAGACGTTTACATCGCTCTTACTGCACGCGTTTTTTGTGGGTTTCCGGCAATGAGAAGAATTACCGAAATAAAAAAAATTACAAAATGTGTTTTTTGTGTGTGTGTGTTGTTGTCTCAACAACACATAAAAACAGGTTTTATAATAAAGAAACTCACATACAGAAACACTAAAGTTAGAGATTAAAAATGAGATCAACGCGATTAAAAAACATAACGCGCTAAATATGACTGTAACTAATTAATCGCAATTAACGCGATAATTTGACACCCCTAATATATATATATATATATATATATATATATATATATATATATATATATATATACATATATACACACATATATATATATATATATACATATATATATACACACACACATACACACATACATATACACACACACACACACACACATACACACACACACATACACATACATATATGTTACCTTGAGGAGCACATCCACATAGACATTGTGCTGGGACATGATCTCCCTGATGTCCCACTTGACTCCTGCCATCAGCAGCAGCATCTGCTCATAGTCAATGGCCTTGGCTGCCACTATCCAGTATATGGGCTTCCTCAGCTCACTGGCCGTGGACACCGTCTGCACAGAGACACACAGGTCTCACATCTCAGACACTTTAGGATACATGTGTACTAACCCAGGTGGTACCTTGGCTGTGTTTGTGTGTGAAGTACCTGAGAGTAGAACTGTTGCAGGAAGGGCTTCTTGGCTGGAGGCATCATGGAGTCCAGATGAGACTGGAGCGCCTCAAACTGCTCCGCCAGAAACACTCTGCGAACAGATAGTTTTTAAAGGGACCATATTAGACTGTTTTCTGCTGTTACAATGTTGTTTTCCTCATCACAAAATTAACTGGAGTTATATTTTGTTTCATTCACACATGTTTAAACACAAACCCTGCATACTAAGGCTGAATTCTCAAACACAATATATACTCTCTTCAACCTTGTGATGTGATGAGGTTATACAGGAAAAAAGTTATTAAATGCATAAAATTGAAAAAAAAAAAAAAAAAAAGCTTAGTTTTTATTCAGTGGGTAATGCTATTAATTATGATTAATCACACTTCAAAAGTGTGCTTAATCTGCTGATTCATTTTTTTTATTGTTTGACAGTACTAATTCTAACACAACTAAAAACTCACATAAGTTCATTTAACATAATATAGGACCTTTAAGGCACCAGGCAGCTGGTACTAGCCTAGCGTGCAGCAACAGTCTCATTTCAGTCTCATCACAATCTCATTGTCATGTTTTTGATCCCCTTAATCAGATTCTTGACTGAGACAGTGACATAAATCTGTAGTATTCATCATGCACAGATAAGAGGCGGATGGGGCAAGAGGAGGAGGGAGAGGCACACACACATACATACATACATACATACTAGTGTTTAACATCAGGTATGCTCCGGCTCATCAGACAGAGCACAGACACTTGTACACGCATGTTGTGTCGTCCTCTGGCTGTGGGAGGATGTGGTGCCATGTGCACAAATCAGTGTGCTGTTGTGGCTGTACATATGTCTTTGAAATTTGTTTGCGGGAGATATTTGAGTGCTCATTTGAAGGTGCTCTTTCTGCTAGTGGGTGCTTGATCCATGTGCTGATTTTGAGATGCTAGTTTTTATGTACTTGTGTGTTTTCTTGTTCTGTGTGCTAACTCTCAGGTTTGCGATCTGTTTCTTTTAGTAGGTGCTCATTGGTACATGCGAGTTTTGGTAGTGGGTGCTCATTTGCAGGTGCTTGTTTACAGCTTCCCGTTTGCTTGTTTTGTTAATGGGTGCTCTTTTAAGGGTGCTTGTTTTGTTAGTGCGTGATCAGTGAGTGCTTATTTGGGGTGCTCACAGAGACTCTGTGGCCACCACACGCTGAGCCAGGCCGAACAGGGCGTTGCTGTTGCTGAGGTCCACCAGTTGGCTCAGGTGAGGGCTGGGCACCTTCTCCTTCCTCTCCTCTGATGGCCCATGGACCACTGCTCCCTCAGCGCTCTCCTGAAACAAAACACAGTGTAATCATGAGCACAGACGAGTCCATACTCAGTGAAGTCAGGCTCAGTGTTTCCCATAACAGGAGACTATGAGCCCCCCATTATCTAAAATAGCCAAACTGTACTAGACATTGGCATTACAAAATTAGACTTGGTTGCTCATTATATTATTATAAACACAACAGACCATCTAAAAAAAATTGAATATCATGAAAAAAAATAAATAAAATCAACTTTTTTCAACATAACTGCTTAAAGATTAAATATAGGCAATAAGTGACATTTATACTCAAAGAACTGAATGAAATGAAACTATTATTTAAAAAAACGTCCTTGTCCTTATCCAAACCTTAATCCTAACAAAAGCTATGGGAAACAGGCTTAAATACTTGTCCCTTATGTTCAGAGAAACATATCAGTTGCTATGGAAACAGATCCTGCAGGTAAGCCTGACTAAGGTCAAGTGCTGACCAAGCACTTTACCAGGTCTGCACTACGTCAATCATAAAAGGCAAACTAAAGCAGGGGAATGCCAGACTCAGTTCATTTAGATTCACACAGACTGTAACTCTCATTTAGAATCTCAAATGAACTTTGCCAAGACGTGACTTGATTGTCTTTAAGCAGAGTTTACACAATATCATCTACGAATAATAAACAACACCAGGCACACAGTTTCAAAATGCCACCATTGTTTCACCTCGCATACTGATGCATCTAAATGTATACAAGCATAATCTTTGAACAAGGAGTCATTTCTATAAATCAAATGTTTGTGGGCACAGTAATGAAACATGTCAGGAGGATTTGAGAAGGATAAATACAGATATAGGAGGAATGACAAGGACGTTAACAGGGGCTGATCTCCCGCACAGCCACACGGGAATCCCACTCCATTAGTTTACTGTGTGTTTGCTTCAGACCACAGCAGTGTGAAACCAGAGCAACAAAACCACAAGTATCTAGCGCCCAAATCAAATGCAACATGCAATTAACTTTGTAATGTGTTTCCTAATGAGGTCTGTGCAGCGGCCCCAGCGGAGCTCCAGCCTCTGTACTCAGGCACATCACATCATCTCACTCAAATATGAGAATGAGAGGCATGTCGAAACTCTGCAGACTAAAGACATCTGTGTTAGACTGCTGTGGGAGGCAAGTCAATCAGATGAGATCAAAACGCCAGTGCCGGCTCAAGGGTTCTATAGGGGATTTGACTCAGAACACAGTCAACAACAGGCAGCCCAACAATCTCCTGGTCCCAAGCCAGTCAAAGGAGCGCCCAGCCCCCATAGAGACACTGGACTTAAGTGGAGCTTCCAGCATTGAAGATAAAAGAGATGGGTTTATCTGGCTTTAAAAGTGCATCTATATTGTGTGGCATGTTTAATTAGGTGAGGGTGGGAAAATCAATCTTTTTTAATTCATATTAATCTTTCATAGGGTTGTCAAAAGTATCAAAAATCAGATACTTATCAGTACAAAAACGGGTACACTGGTATAAATATTCATTTGAGCAGGTATCAATACTGGTATCAATATCTAGAAAAGTCATGTCATCTGAACAGAAAAGAATCTTTCCTGAATAGGTTTAGAATGATCTAGAGTCTAGACTAGTATACACCCATGAACCAATACAAACCTAGTAAGGATGCAACGATATTCAATATAATATCGAATCGTTCAATACTGGTGTCACGAGTCCATACTTGATAAGAACATGTCCTCCCATACACACTGTGTTGTCATTTATTTCGGTCTGAAAGTTAAACAGTTCACGTGGCGTCCTCCCCAGGTACAGCAGGTAAACAGTTCCATAGAGGCTTACAGCTGAAATATTCTAACAAAGGAGGCTTTTCTCTCACTCACTTTTTATTTAACACTGATAGACCCAAGAATGACAAAGCTACTTTTACATACTCTTTGGATTTACATTGGCATTAATCAAATGCTCTCGTATACACACAAGCGATGAGACTCATGATATACACAATCTTTTTCTCAGACTCTATCTCATCAGTTTTACTCAGAAAAAATGGTCTTATGAGACATTTATATGTAATATGTGGCATCATTCAGTATGGGTAGCCTGTCTGGCTGTGCTGGAGTCAGCTGATGAGGCTACTGGGCCACAGTCCACACAGTTACCTGCAGCTCACATGTCGGGCTTAAAGCGATAAGTAGGTGCTGCTTCTGTGTCGGCTCCACGAAAAAAGCTCAGCAAAACTCCAGGTCAGATGACAGGATGACTTCATCTGTTTGTTCAGCAACTACCCATTTGCAGCTGGACATTCTTCAGCAAGCTGACTAAGGCCACTGGTAGTGCTTTTTTTTTTTAAGTGGCAGTGACCTGTCGCGTCACTTGCCGTACCTCCCTCAGAGTACTACACTGGGGAGTTACATGCATGCTGAGCCAATACAAAGGCATTGTCACTTTTGACATCTGAAGGTAGGGCTTTGGCGTCTGTGTAGGAGGATGCCCCCCCAATTTGGCTAGGGCCACATGCCACCTGTCGAGCCGGCTGTTACCTCACTGATTGTCAGGGTGCACTAGCACACTCTACTTTATGTGTTCCCACCAGTTCCACTGATTTTCCATTCCTTTAAGAGTTCATCAGGAGGGACTCCACCTTCAAGGCACTCAAAGCACTTTACAACAAGGAACCACTCACCCATTCACACACACTGGGGATGAGGTGGGTTAAGTGTCTTGCCCAAGGACACAACAACAGCATTCATCTGTGGGAGCTGGAATCAACTAGCTCCCACAGTGGGTCAGCGGACCCACAGGTCCAATCACGTTTCGGTATGTACCACGGTTTTGAGGTCACGGTTCGTTGGTTCGGTTCATTTTTGGTATAGTATGGGAAAAAAAATAAATAAAAATGCTTGTTGTTTATATGTGTGTTAATTAAACCAACAATTTGTTTTAACATTATACAAACAGGAAAATAAAAATAAATGCAAAGTGCTTGGTAATACTAAAAAGTTAAATATATATATTCTCAAATAAGCAACTATGTATGAAATATTATAAAAAATAAATTCCTTGTAAACAGTAAACAAAACTTTTTGAAAAGTAAAGCGCAGCACTAACAGATCCAGCATTTTACTCAATGTTCATAGTTTTGGCCCGAATATATGTACCCTTACACACCTCGTCTCTGCACCTGGTCACTGTTTTGGCTTTTGTAGACCTGAAACTACCTGTCACAGTTAACAGGCATTCTCATATTGTGCCCCTGTACCTTGGTCCGTGAAGGCTGCGTTCCCGCCCCTTCTCCCATCCCCTTTCTGCTTACCAATTGACCGCTGTCTAGCCATCTTTTTTTTTCTCAATTTATACTGGCTGTCCTTGGCTGATTGCGCCAGATTAACGGACGTCTCATTGTTGTGTCGCCTGTGGGTCCACACTTCAGGTTGACGATGGCCACGACCATTGCCCACCATGCCTCAGCCCTAACCACCTGAGGGAGGCACTGTCGGACAATCCATGCATGAACTGTAGTTACATGCCACTTGCTGTCAGTACGGCAAGGATGGCACAGCTAAAACCAACAGGTGGTAGCGATCTCCCACCATCGAGGCAGGTACCACTGCCCCCTCCTAGGCATTCAAAGTGCCATCCCGAGTCTACAATTTCGAGAGCTCTGCCCAAAAAGAAGTCTAGATCCGATCAAGGTCTTTCATCTAAAGTGGAGCAGTTATCAGCAGAATTGAAAGCGATGAAGTCATTATTGCAAGCTCCTGCATGGTCGCACCTGCTTCAGAGGCTGGGATGTTCACCCAGTCAATGCCTGTTCTGACCCCAGAGGCCCCAGAGGATGATGTGCTTTCTCTGGCAGTGTCTGCCTCCCTTTTTCAGGATGAGGAGGATGTACCCATTTTTCTGAGGATGGTTCATATTGTTCCACACAAAGCCTTGGTAGTGACTCAACCAATAGCTCCACATAGCTCTGAACCATTTGCAACTGGAACTTCCAAAGCCTAAACAATCTGGCCTTGGTAGTGCTTTCTTTAGATGCAGGCGTCCTTCTACGCCCTTTGCTGTGCCCCCCTCTGAGGAGTATCTCAGAGCGTTGCATGCCTGTTGGAGGGATCCGAGTGCTTTCTCCAGGCTCTCAAAAGATGGACGGATTTTGGCCGCTAAACACAACCGGCTGTGGCTTCTCTCATTTTCACACCTGAGGAAGCTGTGCGCCAAGATGTCAGATGTCCAAGACCCCAATGTTGTGTGTCGTTATGACTTCATCTCCAAGGCGTACAACTCTGGTGCATGGGCTGGTCATCTGGGCAATTCTTTGGCACATTTACTGTTTTGCCCTCTCTGCCTCCCTCCAGGGGGACATAGTGCTGCAAAGGCTACTGATTTTAGTGATACAGCAATACAGGTTTTTGCATTAATGACAAGGCAACTTGGACGTGTTATGTCTTTTGTGGTTCAGGCTCACCGACAGATTTGGCTCATTCAATCTCCCCTGACAGAGGAGTCCTGCAGGACTCTCCGCACTGTACTTGTGGTACCAGGGCAGTTGTTTGGTTCCACTGCTTAGAACGGAATGTCCATGCTCAATAGACGAGGCAACTGAGGCACCCTATTGCTGGCTCCAGTGCTCAGTCACCCCCTCGGGATTGGTCTACTGATTGACGGTTCCCTAGAGACAGGCTTGGCAGGGTTTTTTGTCATGAACCCCGCCAACCAATGTGGCAGACATGCAGACACAGGCCTTTGGCCCAGGGGAATCTCAAGTGGCTTTCATGTAAAACTGAAATTTTTATTAACTACTGTGTCAGCGAAACGGGTTGGTGAGTTATATGCCCGTTCTGTCTTCCCTGTTTCAGGTGGAGATCAGATAGTTCTGGTGTTACCCTGTGGCCAAATGCAGCGCTTGAACCTAAGGTGTTGTACCGTTCACACTGTAACAAACCTTTGAGTCTGGCTGACTTTGAGCCGCCGCCTGGAGAGGGCAGGGACAAGCTGCAGTTGTTATACCCGGTGCGGGCATTGGAAACCTATATTGCAGCCATGGCAGGTACGAGGTGTTCAGACTAGAGATGCGCGGATTGCGGTTACAACCGCGGTATCCACGGTTAATCCGCGGGTCGGGCGGATGACGTGACGAAAAATTATATTTTAATTAAATTCGGGCGGGTGGCGGTTTAACTACTAAAAAAAAAAAAAAAGTTATTGTTAGTATTGTTACCTACATCTGAAAAGACGAGTGTCATTGTCTATGCTTGTAGTATGAAGTGTACGTCATATCTTTAATTAGCCCATTTGACCTCGTTTTTATGTTCTGAAGGTTAAGGTTGTGTCGGGTTATTGATGCCTAAGGTTTACGAGGCACATATTATATGCAGTTTATTTTATTATTTCTAATTTATTTCAGCTGTTTGCCAACACGTAAGTGGCTATAGGGCCATATTTATTTAGTTATGCATTTTTTTGTTTGTTTCGATATCAGTTATATTTTAAAACACGCAGACATAGCATAGACTGCCACTCCGGGTATTTAAAACTTAAAGAAAGACCGATGGAGTGAGGCTATGACTTTGAAATAACATCGGGCAATGGCAGAATGTTCAGAATGTAAGAACATCCAACACGAAGGCAAGAAGGTTAAAAAATAACCTAGTTGGAAAACCAGGTAAGTCTGGGGTTGTTACGGACAATTAAGAATGCAAACATACACGCTGAGCGAATTTTGGAATGAATGAGCTATAGAGTTTGCATTTTTATCGAGGCTCCTTAGTTTGTTTGCTGTATGATTGTTCTAAAATCTAAAATCAATCGGCGGATGGCGGGCGGGTGCGGTTTTGAAAACCTTCGGTGCAAAATGGACAGCGGGCGGATGATGAGTTTTGTGTCGCAGTTGCGGATGAAAAAATAGCCCATCCGCGCATCTCTAGTTCAGACCAGCTGTTCTGTGTTACGAAGGAGCTAAGGGCTGTCCTCTTTCCAGACAGCGCCTTTCACACTGGGTTGTGACCATTCACCACGCCTACAGGGTTGCAGGCCACAAGCCTCCACCTGATGTGAGGGCCCATTCTACTCGAGGCGTCTCCACTTCATGGGCAACAATGAGAAGGGTCAATGTGGAGACAATATGTGCTGCCGCATCTTGGGCTTCACCAAGCACATTTGCCAGATTCTACAACATCAATGTGGTCTCTCATCTTCTTGGCGTGGGTCTCCAAGAATCTCTGGGTTCTCCTCAGCAAGGTATATGCTCAGGATTCTTCTTGACATAGTTGGTATTAGTTATTCAGTGCTTTCAGTACTGCCCTCTGGCAGTCAGAAGGGATGAAATAGAACAAAAGTTACATATGTAACTACGGTTCTATGAATCTTGGATGACAGCCAGAGGTACTCTGTCACTCAGGATCCTTGCGGATCTGCGAGAAGAGTCACAGATGACAGGGGACTATATTACCTCTGGGGCGTCATCCTTGGTCACAGGTGTGACTCATTTGGTACTACTACTCAAACTGCGCATGTGCGAAGGGAACATTCAGTGCTTTCAGCACATCCGGGATTCATAGAACCGTAGTTACATGTGTAACTTTCATTGTGTTTCTCCAGTATTACTGCAGTACTCACTGCAGTCTTCACTACACCGAACGGAGTAGACCACAGTGCTTTGTCTGGCTTGGGTTTGTCCCCCAGGTGAAACCGTTTCTGTGTTAATCTCTTTGAAATAGACTGGAATTTCTTTGAAAATCTGCCTGGACGAGTGAGGGAGGACACAGACTTAAAGGACAGAATATTATGCAGAAAAAATTGCAATGCTGGGGCTGTGATGTCGTGGTCTTTAAAAAAAAAAAAAGCACTGCAATGGAGGTGCTGCCCAAATGTAATTTAGATCTTTGCACTTGGTTTGTACAGTGGTGTTTTCAGAGGTCTGAAACACTCTATGTGGGTGACGCACACTTTAGATACGATCTTTGGACCAGGCCCCGGTCTAAGAATAACTGAAAAATACTTCACAATAAAGACATGGCTGTACATGTACTTGTGTTACATAGACGAGGCTTTCATTTGCAACCATGTCAGACTCTGCGAGGTCCTGGGGGAGTAGACCTGGGGGAGTAGACCTGTGGGGAGTGGACCTGAAAGTGGAGCTAGGGTAGTGGAGCTGAGAAGGTGAACCTGGGTAGAAGATGTGGGGAGTGGACCAGGGGGAGTGAATCTAGGGGAGGAGACCTGCAGAGTAGATGTGGGAAGTGGTCCCCAGGGAGTGGACCTGAAGAAGTGGGCCTGGGGAGTTGGTGCACATACAGACATTACTGAGGTGGACACTAGCACTCCAGTCTAACTAGAAGGACTGAAATTCTTGATTGACTAAAGATTAAAGAATATCCTGCCAATCATTCAATTGACTAAAAAGACAGGGTGTGGCAAAAGCTCTCAAAAATATTCTGTAGCTCTATGTATCTGACCAAACTGCCCTCACAAGGCTACATCTGCAGGGGGAGTTCAGACAAAAACTATTGTGTATGCAGAATTTTATTTATTTATTTATTTTTTTAAAGTACTAGGAACAAATGTATTTATATAGACACGTTAAATGTGTGAATAATGAGTTTAATCTGCCTTTTTTTACACATAAATGCAAAAAATACAAAACCAGGTAACTTCTTTCTGCTGCTGTCCCATATAAACCCTTATCTAAGTCAAATATTTAGTTGCCTTATACACATTTTGGCTGACTAATTTATTGACTAAACGGCCTAATCTGGAGGTCACTTTACATGCTGAGCACAGGCCCAGGCATTTACCTGTCCAACCAGAACCATATGCTTAAACAAAACTTTACAAAGACAAGTGAATCTGGAGAATGTCTCCCTGATTACAAATTAGTGGCTGTGGTTGGACCATCTCAAGTTTGGAGAGTGGTTTTTCACACTGCAATGTCCAAATCCAGACCCTTCTGGATTCTAATAGAATGTAGAAGCGACTGGCTGCTCAGGCAGGCTGGCATCAGTATCTGTGGTGTGTACATCATAATTGTGTGATTGGCTAATGGTGTGATTAAATAAATCACAGTCACATGGACTTCCTTTCCGCTGGAAAATACTCCTGTTAGATGAGAAAGCAGAGTGTGGAGATGGTTACGAGCAGAGCTTTGGGTACTCTGCCCTAAACTCACAAATGTCAACAGCGAAAACTGGGGAAACTGCCAAACATAATGCAATAAGTTTGTGTTATGGGTGTCCACTGCACTGAGGCCTACTTACTGATCATGCAACGTAGCTCAAAACATGGGTCTCACACTGACACAGGGAAAGAGAGTAAACTTTAGAAATGAGCTCTGACATAAAAAGCAGTTGATGATATTGCGTGACTTTGGTCAGAGAGTGAAGTGGAAGCAAGAAGAGCTCATCAATGACCTGGACACATTTCTCCCTTTCCTTTTAATTAGGAAACCTTTCCAAAAGCTGAAACACGGCTAGCATATGATAGTAGTTAGCTCAAACAAGTACTTATCGCAGCCATGAGTGATGGCATGGTGACAAATATGTTCTGGCTGAACCGGATTTTGTCTCATACTCTCCAGTCAATGCTGCATCTGTCATGGTCAATCACAAGATTATTATTGAAAACACAAACTGCTCCAGTCATCTTATAGAAATAGGCAATTTATTTTTGTATTTTCTTGAAATAATATATAAACAATATATAAAGCGCAATTTATTTTGGTGTCAGCTGTAACAGCAGTACAAGTGTGAATGCTCCTGAAGTCTCCTCAGAGGGTTATCAGTGGATCTCCAGCACTGAGGATGATGTCTTCTCTTTAGAGCAGAGCATTTTGTGAGGTCTGTGTGGTGTTTGCAGAGGGAGCCTGCTCCAGTGTAATTGTCCCGACAGCATTAGTGAGCAGGGTAATTGGGGGTGCTAATGGAGGGTCCGGTCCGTCCTGAGCCCACCATAATGGCCTCATAATGGGCCCGGCAGCCACAGGCCAGTGAGGGCTCACATGGACAGGGACAGGGGAAGGTAACCCCACACAAAATTACACAAAATGTAAGAGAACAGACTCACCATATCAATGAGACTCTCCTGGATCCGGTTCAATGTGCTGCGCAGTCTGCTACTGATCAGGCCAAGCCCTGACGCCTCGTACTGCACACACACACACATACACGCACACGCGCACACACGCACACACACAAATAGATATATTAGACACATGGTACAGAACATCCACACAGGTGATGAAGGGAATACAGACCCTCCACTGCTGTTTGTGTCCCTTCTGAAACACCCATATTACACTACCTTCTGATGTATCTCATCACACACAGTTGTGTTTTGTTTCATTCACACATGTTTAACACACAAACCCTGTATATTTAGAATGTGCTCTTCTTTCAAACAGAAAACATTCTATTTCATCTTGTGATGTCATGCAGTAATACAGGATGTGCTACATTGTGTATATAAACTCCACACACTTGCACTAGAATCATTTGGCTCATTTCAGCCCTGGAATTGCCGCTCTCCACTCAGCTTAAGGTAAAAATGCTGTAGCACTTAACTTTAAAACAAACACTACATGGACATCACAAATTGGAACAGAAAATTTTGATCTTTGGACATGTAGACAGACTTAAACATTTGAGAATGAAACAAAACACAACTACAGGTATATTTTTGATGAGGCAACAGCATTACAAACATGTCTTCAAGCTCGCAAGAATCAATTTTGCCTAATATATAATCTTTAAGACAGGGGCTGGGTGATATGGATTCTTGGTTCAATCACTTTCTCCAGGCAAAATGATTACCCAAAAGGAATATTTCTTTATTTTGTCAGGTGTATTCAGTGCTGATAGCTACAGAGAGTGGCAGAGAAATGGTCACTCAGACTGGTGTGGTCGTCCTAAAGCCCTCCCTCATGTGGCGGATGTGGACTTGTCCATTAGCTGTAGGAGGGGAAAGATGAGTCCTGGCTGTGCCTCACTCACACACAGCACAACAGTGAACCCATAAACCCTGCTAAACCAGCACATGTGTCACCCAGATCAGCTGCTTTCTGAGGAGAGCCCAACTAATTCAATTTGCCAGTAGGTTCTGTTTGTGTTCTAAAAGAGTGTTTCCAAATCAGGGGAACACGAGCACTTACCGGGGGTAAGAATTATTTCAGATTTAAAAGAAAGGTGGAACTTAACATATATGAATATATGTTTTGGCCTGGAAACATTTTATATTTACAATGCAAATTGGCCAGAAAAGAGATGTAGTCCCTCCTTCATGTCCTGGTGCCCGAGACCCCTCAGCTAGCTCCTCTCCTAGTCTGAGCTCTTGAACTTGTCACCCTGAGTGATAATAAAATAATGTAAATTGTAATATTATTACAATGTATTGCCGATTTCTATACAAGAATGTTGAGATGTCATCTGAATAACAAAATCTCTACACATATCTCAAATGATGTGTCTTCAGACTGTTTCCAGACACGTAGAACATGTACTTGTGAATATGTGCTTGAGTGTCTGCTCTTTGAGGGCAGCCTGGTGCCTAACTCTGCATAGCCTCAGCGCCATACACTGGCTTCTCTAAACGTGCCTCTATTTACCTTTAGAATATTAATGCAAAAGAGAAAGTCAAACTTCTCCATCTCAATGGGAAGAGGGTACAGAGAGCAGTGCCCCGAGCGACCTGCCACCATATGAACCCTTTCAAACATTCACAAGGAACATTAGCATTTTCAGAGCAGGGGAAACATTAGCATTTTCCGAGCCGGAGCTGTGAGGGAGCACGCTAATGAGACGGTGTGCATTTACCACACCAAAGAGCCATTTGTGAAAAGAGTCAACTGCAATGTATATGACAGACATTCAGATATGTGTTTTGTAGTGAATGTTTTGAATTCACTCGAGGAAAGACTGTAGTATGAACCATCAAACTGACAAACAACTTGTCTTCACAAAATGTCTAATAACTAGGTTTTATAAAGTCGTTTTATTTACCTTTTTTAACCAGGGCACAACACAGTGCAGAGAAATCACACAATTTTACATTATAAAAACAACTGTATCTCTCTCTTACCATTTTCTAAGTCACACCACAGATTCTAATTTAAACATTTTTGTAAATTATCGCAAGACCACGGTACGGTATGGAGAAGGAAAATGCTGACATAAAAAGTCACCACATGGATTTAACCAACAACATGCACTACTGGTCAAAAGCTTTCGAACACCACACTTTTTCCTTTTTTTTTTTTTTACTGTTTACTGCTTACTGTTGACCAAAACATATTCTAAACTTTTGATTGATGAAAGTGTCCGCCTTTAGCAGATAGAACAGCTGAACACACTCATGGCTTGTTCTTTTTACAATAGAAATCAAATATTGTTTAGAAAGTTCTTCCCAAGTCTGTTACAGAAGTTCCGTAATTGTGTGGCACTTGTAGGTTGCTTCACTCTTCTGTCCAGTTCATCCCAAAAACCAGCTCGATGGGGTTTAAGTCTGGACACTGTGCTGGACACTCCAGGTTTTCAAGTTTACCATCTTGTTCTTTTTTCCTGAGGCAGTTTTGGCAGAGCTTGGAATTGTTTTGTATTGTTTATCTTTTTTTTTTAAATCTCTGTCTGTTCAGTTCTTACCTTTGTACCATTTCAAACTCTTCATTGGACTTGCACACCTTGAATTGCAATAAATAACTGGAAAAATTAGGGTCTTCTAAAACCTTTGACCGGTAGTGTATGTAAGAGCTAAGCAGCTGTCTAGTCCATACGTGGAGTAGAACAAGTGCACTGTCTGAGAAAAGATATGACTCATCATGTTGTGAAGGGTCATTTATATGGTGGATCTTGTCCAACATATAAATGACCCATTATGTGACATGACAACATGCCAGGATCCTTCTAGTTTAAACTTGAATTGGTATGGTAGAATTTGCTGTTTAACTGTCCGATTTGTTGACCTGGTTTAGCACAGTAATTACTGGGCCTAGCCACATGAAACAAAAACTGGCAGAATTTTGAATGTCTTCTCTGTTAAGATGCAGATTTGTGTACAGTGAGTTCCTGGGTCTAGTCACTAATAGAAATGATCAGGTAGCATGATGTAGCATGTATTGAACCTGACAGATGACCTAGCCTCTTTTAGAACATTAGGGGGACCTACCGTGTCATTGCAGCCGAAGAAGGTGTAGACAGCATACAGATAGTAGTCAAAGAGCTGGGACACACAGTGGATGACGTCAAACGCGATGGGCTTCAGAATATTCATCATCTGCATGTACTTCCCTGTGGAGAGACACACTATATTGAGCACAGGGCCCCACGTCTGCAGGGTAAGGTGAGCTTAAGTCATGCATACAATGTGTCCTCTGCTTTTGGCCCATCCTTCAGTGTTACTGGGGCAAACTGTTAGAAGCAGAGACCCATCTCCAGATCTTGAGCTATTCTTAGTCAGGACGCCCTTTGTCTCCCAAAACTGTAGGTGGATTGGGGGAAACCAGAGTGGGCAGAGGAAGCTCACGCACATAAGGAGACTGTGGAAACAGAAGTGCTCACATGGCCCGAGTACAAACTAGGAAACTGCTGCTGCAAGGTGAGGGTGCCATTCTGTCACCCACAGTGCTGTGGTGGACACACTAGACAGATAAGTAGATAAACAAGCTACCCTCCGGTCCTCTGGTTAGGGTCTCTTGAACGTCCCAAAGATCCAATTTAAAAGCAGGGGGATGTGTGTGTTCAGGCTGTGGTCCCCAAATTATGGAGCTACACGGTCCACAGCCAGAGGAGAGTGTAGAGTTCCAAGATGCAGAACCTCATTTGGTCAATCAATATTCTCATATAGAGCCATAAGCTTCTAGAACAGCCTCCCACATGAAATTATATCATGTACTAATCATGAAATGTTTGCACGCCTGACCAAACAATGGCTTTTAACCAATCAAACCTGTACACAGTAATCTGCCCTGTATGAATACAGCAATATGAACTGTAAATATGTAAATAATGTATGGATGTGATAATTATGTGATGACTGAGACCGAATGGGACTATAGTTTTACTGATTGATTGACCTGATGAATGATTGCATCACTATACACTGTATTGTATTTTATTGACATGTACGCCATTTATGACATCAACCTGTCCAGAGACAGAAGGTGAAAATGAGCAATTGTGCTATAACCTGCACAAGCATATGACTTCTTTGTTTAGCTCAATGTTTTTATGTACATTGCCCCTGAAAAATAAACAAATAAACTAAACTAAACTAAACTAAACTAAAGCCCTATCCTAGCCTTCTGTGAGCCAGACTCTATAGACTCTTTTTGTGATTTTTTTTAATCTGTGAAAAATGCTATATAAATAAAGGCTTACTTACTTGCTTATTATTACTATTAAAAGGGCTCAGATCAGCTAGCTACCAAGCCTAACTCAAGATCATCAAGGAGATGGGTGGAGATGGCTCAGATGAAGAGAAAGTGTACCTTACCCTCATGATGCAAAACAGACCATTTTGAGCTTTTGACCATGTTATAACATTGTTTCTTCATCAAAAACATATCTGCGGTTGTATTTTTTGTATTCTGGTCGTTTTCAAAATCCTATCCCTCTGAGCGATCAAAGTACATTTGGCTTCTGATCTCCCAGAATTGGAATGTCATAGGTAATAGTGTGGAGGTCTCATGCAGTTTTTACATTAACAAATAACTGCCAGAGTATTATGCCTTAAAATAACTTTCCTTACAACTGCATGCTTGTACTATTATGTCACAAACAAGCGGCTAACACTTACTTAATAACGCTTTTTCAGTGGTGACACGTTATATTTTTAAGTTCTAATCTAAAACATGAAATGCCAAAGAAAAGTTTTCAAGAGCATATTAAGAAATACACACAGTAACATAACACATAATGTAGAATATTTGCCCTTTAAATATGATCTTGCTCCCAAACTAAATCTTCAAAAATCTAAGTAAGTAAGTAAGTAAGTTGTTTCTTGGGGTCAAAGAGCCTCCAGAAAGCATATTATAGTATATTCAAGCATATTAAAGCGTTTTAAAGTAAGATACTGTATGCTAACAGCAGAGTGTGCAGGCTCACCTAGCAGCCGGATGACATTGAGCGTGGTGTTGGTCAGGATGGGCACATTAGCTTTGTTCAGGTTGTAGTCAGACTTCTTCTTGCTCCGGATGGTTTCCCGGGAGATGCTGTGCAGAGGTCAGAGGTCACATGCGTGAGAAATGTGTAAGGTCTCTAATATGTGTTAACAAGACTAATCCTGCGCTCTGACAGCCAGCGCAGACACATGTAATTACAGAATCAGAAGCCATTTGCAGACAGTTATAGAGAGAAGAGCAGCGTCACAGCAGCGGGGCAGTGAACCGTTTGACCCACAGTAATGGAGGATTAACATTCTCACAGGGAGCATGACATGGACACGTCACTGAATATAGTGTCTTTATATATTACTATATTATATATAACAGCATGTCCGCACACCCGCAGCCCGCTCTTTAAGTTCTAATGATCTCATTGTAAAGTAGAGATTGGAGATACTAAGTCTAGAAGGTAATAGTCGTATTACCATACTAACATTTTAAAGGTGATTTTAAAGACTTACCAACAACAAAAATCAAATACTATATAGTTATTAGAGAGTAGGGCTGGGCAATATGGATCAAAAAATATATCTCGATATATTTTGCTATATCGCGATATATGATATATATCTCGATATACGTTCAAGAAAAAAATAACCCCCTAAAACTGAAAACTGCAAAAACATACCTGCCAAATTCCACAAGGTCCTTTTTTTTTATTGAAGTGTAAGAGGTCGGCAGTTCATATAGGAACATTTAAGATTACAAAAAACCCTAATTACATAAATAATCATTTAACTGTAAAATAAATGAAATAATACATATTTCTTTCTTTTCATTCATAAATAAAACAACTCAGCACAAGCTCATCTTTGCATTAACTCTGTTATCCAGACCATAATCATAATCATAACCGTGAGCTCCTTTAGTAGAGGAAGCTCAGGATGTTCCTTATTTCAATAGATCCATGTTCCTATCCAGCAGTAAGGAGCTCTGAGGTTTAATCCCACAATCCACTGTAGATCGAACCCAACGTTTCCAAAAACTATTGTACAAGTTACACTGTAGCAGATTATTAATTAAGATCTTCTGCATAAATAGACTTTACAATACTAAATTTATACTTCACAATATATAAAGCATAACGACTCTAGAGCCACATCGGCCCGTTTGAGATAATAATGTGTTTAATGCAGTTTTGCGCACGTGTGTTTACATTTTACAGAAACGAAACTTAGGCGCATGGCTAATTTGCATAAACAGAGCACTTTTCATGCAGCTCAGCTTGTTTAGCTTTTTTCAGGCTAAAGGACATGACTCAGTGGAATATGAGGATGTGCTGTTGATGGTTTTGTCTATAAATGGTGGAAGGTTCGTGGTGCTTTTCACTGGCACCAACTTTCAGTGTTCACGGCGGTAGTGAGAAGGTAAACAAGCGAAGCGGTGAAATCAAAATTGAATATAAGCATTATATCGATATATACGATATGTCAGAATTCATATTGAGTTTAAAAACTATCTCGATATATTTAAAATATCGAGATATCGCCCACCCCTATTGGAGAGTATTACTAAAATTCAAAATTTGATTTTGTTCAGAAATAAACTCTCAATACTGACTGAAGTACCATGATTTTCAGCATTAAACAATATTACTTTCTTTTCTATTCCCATGTGGTTTTATATGTGTGTAATCCTCAGTGGTCCAGATAGGTTCCATACTGGTCCATGGGTGCAGACTAGTCTATGTGCTCTTATACTTCTGATACAGCTCAACATCATCCTAAACACATTCAGGAAAAGCTCATTTCTGTCCTGTCAATAGGTCTATAGTATCGATACCTGCTTAAATACCAGCTTCTATGATCTAGTTATAGTATCTGAGCTGACCTTTGATACTTCTGACAACCCCATTAGGGTGTTATTATTTATTATTTTACTACTTTTATATTTTACTATATTTTATCAATTAGTAATGTAAAGTCAATAGTATGTATTGATGTAGATACGTATACTTAAAATGGGGAGAGGTCCGGGCAAGTATGGGCAGCCAGATGCCCATACCTGAAGCTATACCTCAAAACTGCCAAACAAAGGCTCCATGTCTTGGCCAGCTGCCTAAAGAGGTACACACAAGATACTGAAGCCAGACTAATAAACCGGCGAAAGTGTACGCTCAGTGGCAGGATAATAACACCAGAGCAGACCCACCAAGGCTGGAGACTGAGAGGTACTGGAAAGGCACATGGGAGAGGGAGGCACCACATTACACAGATGCACAGTGGCTGGTGGATCTTAGAGAAGACCACAGCAACCTCCCTGAACAGAATCCAGTCACCATCACAGTGGCAGACATCCAGAAAAGAGTCTCAGGTATGAAAAACTGGACCGCACCAGGTCCCGACATGATCCACACATACTGGTTAAAGAAGTTCACTGCTCTCCACGAGCGCCTGGCAGCACAAATGAACCAGCTGCTAAAGAATGGGACTCACACTGAATGGCTCACCCAAGGGCGTACGATCCTGATCCTGAAGGATCCCTTAAAGGGTGCAGTCCCATCCAAGTATCAGCCAATAACCTGTCTCTCCACAACATGGAAGCTCATGTCAGGCATCATTGCGGCTAAGATAAATGGGCACATAGATCAATACATGAGTGCAGCACAGTGGGCATTTGCAAAAACACCAGGGGAGTCAAACACCAACTTCTGGTTGACCGAACAGTCGCCCGTGACTGCAGAACCCGTAAGACCAACCTGTGCACTGCCTGGATTGATTACAAGAAAGCCTACGATTCAATGCCACACACATGGATCACTCAGTGCTTGGAGTTGTACAATATCAACAGGACTCTAAGGGCCTTCATTGCAAACTCAATGCGGTTGTGGAAAATCACCCTTGAAGCCAATGGGAAGCCACTTGCACGAGTGTCCATCAAATGTGGCATATACCAGGGAGACTCACTGTCCCCACTGCTGTTCTGCACAGGTCTGAACCCCCTCAGCCAAATAATCGACCGCACTGGCTACGGATACTGACTCAAAACGGGGCCACCATCAGTCACCTCCTCTACATGGATGACATCAAGCTGTACGCTAAGAGCAAGCGAGACATCGACTCACTAATCCACACCACCAGGATCTACAGCACAGACATTGGAATGTCAGTCGGGCTTGAGAAATGTAGCAGGATGGTGACAAAGAGAGGGAAGGTAGTCCACACAGAGGGGGTCGTACTCCCAGAGGGAACAATAGCAGACGTTGAGGACAGTTACAAGTAGCTTGGTATCCCACAAGCAAATGGCTCCTTGAAGAGGTAACAAGGAAAGAGGCTACAGCCAAATACCTGCAAAGAGTGAGACAAGTCCTAAGAAGCAGCTCAATGGCAAGAAGAAGGCACAAGCAATCAACAGCTACGCCCTGCCAGTGATCAGATCCCAGCAGGAATCATAAGCTGACCAAAGGAGGAGATACAGACCACAGATGTTAAGACACGAAAGCTCCTGACCATGCATGGAGGGTTCCATCCCAAATCCAGCACCTTGAGACTGTACTCAAGCTGGAAGGAAGGAGGCTGAGGACTAGTGAGTGTGGGAACCACTGTCCAGGATGAAACATCCAAGCTCCTTGAGTACATCAAGGACAAGGCCCCGGCAGATGAGGTGCTCAGAGAATGTCTCAGACAGTGGGGTCCAGAGGAAGAGGTGCTGGAGGGACCATCATGGCAGGACAAGCCCCTACATGGGGCGAACCACCGGAACATAACTGAAGTGGCTGATATCAAGAAATCCTACCAATGGCTTGAGAGAGCTGGTCCGAAAGACACACAGAGGCTCATCCTGGCTGCTCAGGAGCAGGCCCTGGGCACTCAAGAAATGGAGGCCCAGATCTACCACACCAGACAAGACCCACGGTGTAGACTGTGCAAAGAGCACAAACTGCAGGTGTAAGATGCTGCAAAGTTAAGTTGTATATAATTTAACTTGAACATATAGGTTGTGTTCAAGGGCATATCTTAAGAACGTATAGTTTTAAACTGAGGCTGGACACAAAGAATTCAGGGTAGAAATCTGCTCTTACACTCTCTGAATGCAGATGTCATCACCGAGTTTATGATGAATATATCTGTATTTACTGAAAATATTCATCATAAACTCGATAAAACGAAATGTGGTACAGAGTTTATCTGATTAGTATACAGTTACCTTAAATTAAGGCCAAACTATTTTCCACAATAGCCTTGTAAATTAGTAGTAGTAGTAGTATGTTTTAATTATACAGGTGAAAGGACAGTAAGCCACAGGATTGGCCACTGCCCATCAAAGTGATAAATGAATCCTACCAAGCTCTTTCTGATTATCATGATCGCATAGGCCAGCTCATTCTAATCACTATTATATTATTACACTATTAGAGACCCTCCCAGGACGTGTAGAACTGCTGCGCACAGCCTGGTGCTCATATTCTAGCCCATTCATTTTAATGAGGCAGCAAAATAAAAACATGAATTATTGATGTTTGTAGACAGCACAGACAAATGGTTGTTGTTTATATGTTTGGCAAGAGTAATACTAGTCAATATTTAACGACAAATGAGAGTTTCCAAACTTCACTAATCAGTTTAAGCAGTGCCTGTGAACTTCTCGAGTGTGAGCAGTGGGAGTTTAGATTTTTAGCGCTTATGGATGTAATGCAGATAACACCACAACATTCTACATTTTTAGAAAGGCTGGCAATGGTGTGCCCTGATATTTTCTTCTGTAAATCTCAAAACTCTAGAATGTGAAAGAACTACTACAGTCTAATAACAAGTATAAAACTCTATAACGCTGCTAAATATTTTTATTTTTTTTACCTGACATCTAAAACAGGAAAATCAAGTCAACAGTAGAAAACCAGTTAACAAATGAATAACAGAGACTGCAGCCTACACTTCATCATTGATACAGGTTTTGGGATCAGACACAGTTCTTTCTCTCCATAAATCACTTGTTTCTGAGTCCATGTGGTGAGCAGATTAATTGATGTGGGGCAAGTTGAAGTGTCCTTTATCACCGCCTATTGTTAGCTAATCACAACAACAACAGAGAAATTACGTTCAAGTTTCCATTTTGACATATAAAGCTAACTTGAGCAACATCTTTGAGTGTTTGGACAAAAATTAGGCCAAAAAAAGCAAAGAAACATATTTTGCCTGTAGTGCTGTTCAGTCAGAATGATGAGGAGCATTTTTCAAGTAAAATGACATCAACGCATAACCTCTATTCTGCCACTGCGCAGGTCAGGATCGAGCTCAGACATACACAGAAGCACTAGGGTTGAGGTTGGGTTCAGACTGTACCTCTTGAGTGGGGCATCTCCAGTTTTCTCGTCCACGTAGTCCTGCTTCAGCTCCTCTGGGACGTCACTGTCACTGTCATACTCCTGGTACACGCTCTTCTCCAGCTCGTCTGACTCATACTGCAGCATAAACCCAACAGGTAACAGTCAACATATGCTGTAATGTAGAGCCATAATCATAGCCAGAGCCAATACAAATAGAACATACTGAAGTCACTTTAACTGCACTTTAATCTATCCATATGCTGCACTTTTCATAACCACAGTCTGAGACACTGTACTTATTGTGTTTTGCGTCTTTACATCTTTACTCTGCTGACAGTGGTTTTATCTATTGTTAAATCTTTTAAGTTATTTATCTTTATTCTGATTGCATGTTATAATTCTCCTGTTGTTTTTGAACCTGTAATTTCCTACATTGTAGTCAAATTCACATTCGCCTGTAGGGACAAACTGGCAAATTACATTTAGACAAACTCATGCTTTAAAATAGTATAACACAATGTAAGCTTGCTGTATATTAACTGCATTCCTAACAATGAAAAAAGTACAAAGACACAGCCCCATTTTTAAATTGCTGTGCAGCAGCAGTTTCATTAGTGGCAGGCACGCTGATTATATTGTGATAGTGCTCTGAAGGGGGAGTAACTTAATGTGCAGTGCAAATGGATGGGGGGACTTACAGCGTCAAAAACAAACTGAAACGTTTATGGTAATACCCCATATAATATAAATATAGTACTCTTCCTATTTACAGACATGGACAAAACTGTTGGTACCCCTCTGGCAATGACAGAAAAATCAACAATCATCACTGAAATAACTCATAAGCAATAATACATATTTACTGAAAAATGTCCAACAAAAATCAAACACTGCTTTTTACCTGTGGTTCAACAGAATCATTAGAAAAAAACAAAATAATAAAACTGGCCTGGACAAACATGATGGTACCCTTAACTTTATATTTTATTGCACAACCTTTTGATGCAAACTCTGTAAACAAATGATTTCTGTAACTGTCAATGAGACTTCTGTTCTGGTCAACAGGTATTTTGACCCACTCCACGTGAGCAAACTGTTTTAGTTGTTTCTGGTTTGAAGAGACAGCATGTTTCAGCTCATTTCACAGACGCTCAATAGGACTGAGATCTGGGCTCACAGAAGAACACTTCAGAACAGTCCAATGTTTTGGGTCATTATCCTGTTGGAAGACCCATGACCTATGACTGAGACCAAGCTTTCTGACACTAGTCAACACTTCTTGTTCCAAAATACCTTAATAGAGATTTCGTTGTACTTTGTACAGATTCAAGACACCCTGTGCCAGATGCAGCAAAACAGCCCCAGAACAAAACCAGGTCTCCTCCATGTTTCACAGTAGGGACAGTGTTCTTTTCTTGGTCTGCTTCATTTTTGCGTCTGTGAACATAGAGCTGATGTGTCTTGCCAAAGAGCTCCAGCTTTGTCTCATCTGTCCAAAGGACATTCTCCCAGAAGTTTTGTGACTTGTCAGTATGCATAGTGGCAAATTCCAGTTTAACTTTTTTATGATTTTCTCTCAGCAGTGGTGTCCTCACATGAAGTCTACTTTGGCTCAAGATATTATTGTATTTATCTTTAACCTGCTTGTCTATCATTTTCTTTCTAGTCTCCTGACACAGTTCTCTTCTTCTCTTTCTCTGCTCCATGTTCAGTGTTGTGTCCATCATGTCTCCAAACAGCACAATGACACATGTCTCCCTTTAAACAGACAGACTGACTCAGGACAAGTTTGAAGAACCTGTGACACACTGAAGTTTAACATATTCCTATTGTCCAAGTATTTATGACCTTTTCTAGGGGAACCATCATTTTTGTCCAGGCCAGTTTCATTATTTTTTTATTTTTTTATTCTACTGAACAACAATTCAGAAACAGTGTCTGATTTCCATTGATTTTCAGTAACCATTGTTGATTTTTCTTTCATTACCAGAGGGGTCCCAGCAATTTTGTCCACGTCTGTATATCCATCCGACTAATAGAATTGCAGATGTCAGAAGACGGGTCGGAGCTGTCACGGTGACTGTGATGTCGTTGTGTCTGTGGGCAAGACACTTTGCCTAGTGTGAATGTGGTGTGAGACTGAGTGCTTGGTGGTGGTTGTTAGTCTGTCCCAGGGCAGCTGTGGCTACAACAGGCCAAGCCGAACATACCCCGTTAGAAGCTAGCACATCCTCGCTCTCCTCGTCCTTCTGCTCCATGTGCATCTCAAAGGGGTTTCCTCCCTGGAGGTAGAGCTGGAACAGGCTGAGCTCCTGGCCCGGCACAGCCCCAGACGAGGCCTGTTTGCTGGGGGACACGGAGGGAGAGCGGCACTGACCCAGGAACTTGAACTCCTGTAAGCACACACAGAACTGAGCTAGACAGTTGCAAAACAGGATGGGCAAAAATAAATACAGCATCTTGATAACCAGATGATATTTTGGTAATCCATCATAAATGTGCCGAAACATATTTTGTTATTAGAGGTGTTAGTGGTATGAAGAAACCACAGACTGTATAAAAGAAGTGGACTAAATGAGTGTGACGTCACCCACCATCATTACATTTAAACTCAGCCAAAATGACTGGAGGCCGTGACAAAGGCCCTGGTCCATTTCTGCCGGGTGTTTGATTGACAGGCAGAGTAGCCAGTCAGAAGATAGTATTTTCAAACGTGGTTGACAGCACTCCATCTACTAAGCTTAGCTGTCTTCATTGCGTTGTGCAGACCTTGTGATCAGAAATAAGGCACACACAAATGTCCCAAACTATTTCCACAGTCTTTAAGTGTTTTATGACTTGTAAATATTAGTAAATATGTTTACAGGCCATTTTCATGTTTGTTTTCCATTTGCTAAAATGCCAAGTGTCTCGAGCTAAAATGTTAACAGCCCATTAGTAATTACAGGGCTATTCTCATTTGTGTCTGCCGTTGTTTGTTAAGTTGTTTGTATAGACCATATTATAATTCATATTTTCCTTTTGTTTGTTTATGTTGCAGAACCACACACACACACACATATCGTGGCATTTAACATAGGCATTTGACACAGTGGATTTTAATCCATGCTTTTATCATTTAACCACAGACTATTGTAATGCACTTTATGTTGGGCTCAACCAAACGTCACTTGCATGGCCACAAATTGTCCAGAAAGCATCTGCTCCACTCTTGACTGGCATTAAGAGCTGAGACCACATCATACAAATTTTAATGTCCTTGCCTTGTCTCTTACCGTAAAATTCTTTTAAAACCCTTTTATTTGTTTTAAATGCCTCCATGGCCCTGCCCCATGCTGTCTCAGACCTGCTTCAGTCCTCTGCCCCTGCACACTCACTCAGGTCAGCAGATCATTCTTTGCTAGTTGTCTCAAAATCCAAGAGAAAACTTAGTGAGGACCAGGCCTTCTCTGTCATGGGTCCAATACTCCAGGCTTTTGATTTTTAAATCAGCTTTTAAAACTCACCTTTTCATTTTAATGTTTCACTGTGATTAATGTTGACTTTTTAGTGTCTGGTGTGTTTTTATGTGTCCATGTTATTTGTCATCTGTGTCTATTTTATTACCTTTAATAATTTTTGGTCAACTGTGTTGTTTTTAATGTTCATTAGAAATAAAGTTGGATTGGATATCGACAAAGAGTCAAATAATATTAGTTTGTTATTAGTATTATTAGTATTAAGCCTACAGGTATAATTATATATTGTTTAACATGTAAATCCTATTAAATGTAGTGTAAATTATTATTGGCATCCCATGTGATCTTCGCAGTGACTTTAGGAATGGCTGCTATTGATATATTCAATATTAAAATTCAAAACAACATCTCTGAAAACAAAATCATCAGATGTCAATTAAAGTTATTACAACAGAAACCTCACATATGACTTTCAGTAATGTACTGTATATAGTTTAGGATGAATTGTCTGATGGGTCAGACATCTGAGGTGGAATTTGCTGGCATTTTCAACATAAATAACATGAAATGATGTTTCGACAGTGGTTTCAAGAAGTGGTATTATCCTCAAAGACTTGAGTGTTTCAGGTGAAAGGACTTTAGGGCATAAGATGAATATGACAAGTTTATGGAGTTGATCCCAAACAAATAATGAGAAGGAGAAACATGTGTGGACATTTCTTTGAAACTCCTGTAGTTATATAGAATCTTGCCCTCCATCTGAAACTATGATCAAACTACTCATCAAACTCCAGAACATGAATGCACTCCGAACTGAGAGTGTAGGATTTTTTTTTTCTAACTGTGAATCAGGCACTAAAAGTAATGTACCATTGTGAACCTGATGTCTTGTTTATCCCAAATCCAAAATGAAACAAAAACAGGACAAGGATCTGGCAACATGCTGTCATAGCATTTTATCCAGAACAGTATTACGGTGATTTGAGCCATTTTAATGTTGTTTAACTTTGTCTGAGAGCCACACAGAATCCAATTGTTTTTATGAGAAACTGTCGCCTGCAGACAAACTGAAGCTGGCTTTGGGTCCATACTGTTGATTGGCAAATGAGTTTTTTAGTGAGCTCTATCTGAGCATGAAAGAAACAAGATGAAAAATAGATTGTGTAGAAAATTAGCCCCATTTATCATTCACAGGTCTGTGCATCTGCCTATTTGATGCACGCTGAATTTAAAGTGTTCCTCTATCGACTGCATACATTACACCAACCCCGAGTCACATGGATACAGATTAGCACAATGCATGCCTAGCATGTTTTACAGTGGGGCTTTAACCTATCGGTCTCCATGGACACAAGCAGGTGGCCAAGGTAAGAGTCTGTAGAAAGGTCAGTTACAGTACAATGAATCCATGCAGACAAGCAGGGGACCAAGTTACAGGTAAAGTGTGTGGAGAAGCAAGCCCGCTTACAGTAAAGATGCATGGTTTTAAAGGTGCAATAAACCATGCATGACATGAAAGAAATGGTATTATTTTAGTCTATCTGTTGTTTGAAATGTTCCACAGTAAAACTAGAACTTATCCATCTCCATAGGGGCAAGCAAGTGGCCAAGTTACATGGCAGGTCTGTGGAGAGGTAAACCCTCCCATCTCAGTGGACTAAATGCGTGTGACATCACCCACAGTGTTCGGCTCCAAAGGAACTGTGTTAAGGGTAGCAGCTATGGGGGTGAAAGCCATCCTCAGGTGGTGAGCAAGTTAGATTTGTCTATTTTTATATACATTCTATGGCTGTGACTCACGTGCAGTTGGGAGATGTTGAAGTTTGACTTGACAGGACACAATTCCCATGTCTCATTTTCCAGGAACATCCTCAGCTCCTCCAGACGAGCCCTGTTTTCAAACCACAATCAGCATGTGCTCTAAGGTCACTTTAAGGTCATTAAGGCATTAAGTAAAGGTGCTGTAACAGTTTTCTTTCTGTATTACATATCTTATAAGGGCCTACATAAAAGTAAAATTGACTCTTGTGAGTTTTCAGCAATGTTAGAAAGTTGTTACCTCCTCAAAAACATACCCAGAGTTGTGTTTTGTTTCATTCACACATGTTTGATTAACCCATCTGTTTACGTCTTCAAAGCTCAAAATGCTCTGTTTCACCTTGTGATGTCATGTAGTTGCAGTTTTCAAGTTAACAGCTTTTACTTTTAGTTCAGTAGAAATTGGCAATTTCACAGCTGAAATTATCCAAATTGTACTAGTGAAGGTGTGTGAAGTTTAAAACACAGTGGAGCACTTCCTGTATTACCATATGACATCACAAGGTGGGCTGTTTTCCATTTGAGAGTCTAAATATGCAGAAGTTGTATGTTAAAACATGCGAAACAAAACACAACTTTGACTATGTTTTTGATAAGGAAACATTATAAGACAGATCATAAAACAGCATATTATGGGCCATTTAAAAAGGTGAAAAACTAGTTCATCATAAACAGTTTAGCCCCAAGTTATTCCTCACTTACCTTATCTAATCTGAACATCCTAATTATTCACCACAGTGAGTTTATAAGCACTTTTCACAGCTGTCAGAGACCATGGTTTTGATGGTTTGGGTGTCATGTACAAATACAACTAGGATGCTAACCACAGACTGCCTCATCCTATAAAAAAATCACAACTAGATGCAGACATAACACCGCAAACATATTTTGACCTTAGGGGCTGCTGTACTGTATCTGTACTAGGGCAAGACAAATTTTTGCTCAAATAGTTTGAAAAAAGTCAGGTATAGACTCTTTATATTTAATGCTGCTCCAAGAAAAACACAATAGTTTGGAGTTCTATGACTCGTTTTCAGACACATTAAGTGAGTAAGTCTTCTAGTGACAAAGGATGTGTGTTGACAATATGAACTCATTTGAATATTTCCCTTCCAAAATATTCCTGCTTTGGATTTTAGGGCAGAAGAATAATGAAAATATATATATTGTTGAAAACGACTGCAACTTAGGAATCCAATTACGATTCACTTTGCAGGTTCACGGTCTATTATTACTTATTATTACTACTCAACTACTACAAGAATCCCATGCGTTTCTCAAGGCTTTGTAAAGGTTTAAACTTCAAGGTAAACCATTTTCCCTAAATATACAGGGTGTGTTGGTGTTTGTCATGGATATTCTATTACTCAGAAAATTGATAATTTGGTAATTATGCCAATTGAAATTGTGACTATATTTCATCCCTAATGACTGCCCTCTAGTGGTCATTCGGGAATCAGAGAACCAAAGTTACACTCCTGACTCTTCTGTTATAAATCTGTTATGAAGCCCTGGTGTCTGATTTCATATTTACCCAGCACACTCCACTTCAGTAGTGGTTTTCATAATATTTGCTAGAAGTAATTTTTTGCTCAAAACATGAGTATTATTATCTTAACAGTAACAGTTCTCTTACTTGACATGACAACAAACAAGACAATGATAGATAGGTTATGGTTGTTTTCAAAAGAACTCTTCAGATTTATAACAAGGACTGTCAAGTGGGCTGGAAAGTCCCATTTGCGGGTGGTTCTTCACTAGGCTGAGGCCCACAGCAGCACTGGGGTGAGCAGGCTGGGATTGCTGATTGCTCTGATCCGTTTCATCACAGGTAAAGAGAAGGCTGCTGGGTCCTGGGGAGCACTGCACAAATACACTTTCTTGGATGAGTTTGCAGAGTCAAGACAAGACAAGATGTGAGGACACAAACCACTGAGAGAGAAAGTGCAGTAAGCTAATGAGACCAAAGTACTTATTGATACGTGTAAACATTTGCCTGAAATTATATAGCAGCCCCTTAAAACAATCAAAATGGAATTGCAAAGGTTACCATCATTTCAGGAACAGAATTTCCTCTGAAAACAAAACAACATTCCGTTTGTAGACAAAAAACGTGATAACCTGCAGTTTAGACCTCTACAAACATGTTCTGAAATGCATTGGATTCTTGTATTAGAACCATGTACTTATACTGGCATGGCTACCAAACACTGACAAGCCACACTACATAAAGAGCAAAGGAAAACAATATTGTAAGCCTTGTTTCGTTGCACAGTGAACTGAGGAGACAGCAGTGCACAGAGAGAAGTTTTAAGTCTTCAGCTATAATTTAAGGGGTACTTTAAAGTGGGGGTATTACACTTCTATTGTGTAATAACTGCTAACAACATTTAGATCACATTTAGATTTATTGTTTTGGAAATGTTATGGCAAAAACAATGTATTAACATGTTTAAAATGCCCTCCCTTCCTGCACTACTGCATATTGCATCAGGTTTCTGAAGTTTTAGTGTATTTGTATGTGGGTTTGTATCATGCTTTTGTATACTTATGGGAAATTGCCATTTAGGAACATGGATGACATAGGCTGAGCTTTGGATAGGATTCTACTGCTAACCATAAGAAGGGTTCAAATAGGGCCCAGGAGAGATCACTAAATGACTGAAACATGTATGGATGACACCTAAAATAACTTCAGGCATGTTTTTGATGAGGAAACAATGTTATAACATGGGAAAAAGCTTCAAAAGGTCTATTTTGCAGAATATCCACTATTTAAAGTGTTAACCTGTGACCTGTGTAGGGATGGAAAATGACACTTTTCTCCTCAAAACACACATATCCAATTATGTTGAATAAAAGTTTAAACTTTGAGACCTTTGAGGTGAAAATCAGCCTGAAATATCAAATTAAAGGCCCAGTTATGATATCAGCTTAACCAATATCAAGTCTTGACCTGTGGTTTAAGGTGTACTTTAAAATGCAGTTTAAAGACTTCACCTGTGGTTTCAAGTGTACTTTAAAGTATAGTTTAAAGTCTTCACCTGTGATAGTGTTTGAAGTAGTTGACGCTCTGGCGTTTGATGGACTCCTGCAGCACCTCAGATTTACTGTCACAGAACTGCTCACCCACCTGCATGAGCCTGTCCACAGGAGAGCAGAAGACATGATTCACAACACGCACAAACAAATAAGATACACTAAAGATTTGACAAGATGTACGTGTAGTGTGTCAGACTAAGACAAACTTTATGGATCCACAAAGGAAATTACTTGGACACAGTAGCTCACACATCACATTATATTACAGTAACAAAGAGTAAATGGTAATAAAACTTCTAAATAAGTGTTGTTTTTTTCCCTTTGCAGTTTTAGTGCAAATTACGTTAACTTTGTGGTCTTAAACAGCCAAAACCAGTAAAAGTAAATCAATGTTGCTGGATTTTGAGGGGGGGGGGTTATATACAAACTGTAGGGGCTGTAGTAAATGTTCTCTGCAGTACAAAATTAATGTTGGACAATGCTGTGCTAAAAAAAAACAAAAAAAAACAGATGTAAAAGGAAAGCGCGGGGCACCTGCTGATGATGTCCAGGACCACTATAAAGTCATCGTATTTAAAACTGGACATGTCTGTTCCCAGGATGAAGGGCTTGACCTTCAGCTGTACATCCTGCAGAGAACAAATGCCACTGTCATGAATATGAATAACACACACACAACGACTCAAACCACACATACACGGATTCAAACCACACACACAATTACTCAAACTACACATACACACACACAAATACTCAAACCACACACACACACACACACACACACACAAAGAGTCAAACCAGTAATACAATAAAAAGTGCACACATTAATTTTGTGTAATTAAACTAGGCCAAAATAAAAGCCTTACAGAGGCTAAAAACAATAATGAATACAATCTGCCTTTTGTTATGTTTTAATTTTAAAAACAGGCCATTTCTGTCAAGAGGACTGTGAATTTATTATGATATATTTAGTCAACTGTAATATTGATAACTGCATTGTCCAATATTGCAATATCAATAATATCACAACATATTGTGCCGCTCTACACAAACACTGAGGATGAGGCATGCTTAGACACTGCACCTGCCAAATCCGCGTCAGCCCGTGCTCCAGCTTCTTCTTCACATACGAGCGGTCCACCCCCTCATCCGACTCCTCTGCCGTGCCACCTACAGGGTTTGTTTTGACAAGACATTTGGATTTAGTTTTAGTCTTCTGACTAAATGATTATTAGTTTTAGATTTAGTCAAGTCAAAAATAAAGCCTGTCCAAATAACAGATTTTGAAGTATGATTTATTGCTGCAGAAAAAAATATCCTGATAATCTATAATATTGAACCACTTTATATCAACATTAAAACATCACTTCTGTCATTTTTTTTTCAAAATGAACCCAATTGTAAAACATAATTTTCACCAAATCTGTATCGATGTTGAACAATACCAATAGAGGGACCCCGCACGCAATAGTTCTTGACCATGAATACATATTGATCTTTCTTTCATATACCAACTTATCAAGAATTACTTTTGTTGTTGTTGTTTTTCCCATATCCATGGAGAGTTTGCCAGAGGCTAGTTAAGGAGCTAGCTATGGACATTTGAGATGGTACTCTGAGGTCTTCCAGAGGGAACACTTTGAGGGGATGAACCACTGCCATCACCAACCAACACACCAGAGCGGAGTAAGAATGAGGCGTTTCCTGTTGTGTTCACCTGGTTCTCCCTGGACATTGCTTTGATGCTGCAGGACACAGAAGAGAGACACTTTTGGATCTTCCTCTCCTCAAACTGCCCTGACAGAGGATCTGCTGAACCTTCCTGTCCAGTCCTTCTGTTATGATGCACTAAGACCATTGACGAAGTGTAAATGTTGCTGCAGCAAAACTTGAATTTCCCCCGGGATCAATAAAGTTTCTCTCGCATATTGCATGATAAGTTCATAAGTTAATATGGTAATTATCATGACACGTGTAGTCATGACAAAGATACCTTGAAAAAAAAATCTGATTCTAAGAGAGCATCTTTTCAATGTACCAAAGATTGAGGAAAGTATAGAAGAACTTGTGACGTGTTGTATTGCCGTTGTCTCAGAGATAGCAGACAGGGTAAATAAGTCAGGTCATGTATTTTATGTTGGCATTAGGGATGGGTATTCGATTAAATTTTCTTAATCGATCGTCAGGAGAATTAACGATCGATTATCGATTAATCATTAACGTTTTTTTATATTAAAATTTATCATCATTATTATTACTATCTGCACTACTAATCCGCATAAATAAATTCAACTTTACAACATATAAACTGTAACCAATATAGAGTCACATCAGCCTGTTTGAGATTATAATGTGTTTAATGCAGCTTTGTACAAGTCTCACAGAAACTAAACTTAAAACCACATGGCTAATTTGCATAAATTAAGCAAAGAAAAAAACAGCTCTTGTGCGCTGATGCGACACAACTCAGTGGAATACAGGTTAGTGTGACCATATTTGCGTTTGTCAAAACCAGGACACCGTACGGGGGGTGGGAGGTGGGGATTCGTCATCGACATTGCGCTACTCTCTCTCTTTTTCTCACTGGACACCAAAACATCTGTGCTGCTTTGTACACTGTGCACATGGCCTCCCACTTGTCCTGAACGCAACGGAAAGCGTGGAATTTCTTGTACAAGTCATCGTTAAATGTGCATTTGTGCTTCGGCATGTTGCAGGCTGATCGACTGTTTGCGTCTTGCTCCTTCTGAGTGCAGAAAGCTACATGTACGGACCGCAGTTTAGGCACAGTAACCTACATTCAGTTTGTCGATTAAAATGAACGTAATCAATGAAATTCTTAATGATCAATTATCGATTAATCGACTAATCATGCCCATCCCTAGTTGGCATATTGTATGTGAGGGAGGACTGGAACAGACTATTACCTGGAGTGTTGTCCTGCTTGTCATGCTCCTCGTGCCACTGCATTGTACAGTGGTAGCTTAGCATCACTTCCCACAATGCCTTGCAGAGGTCTGTCAGACATGGAATGTAACTATCCAGTGTAATATGCTGTGAAAAAAGAAGAAATTTAAAAATCAGGTCATAAAATAATATTAAGAATTTAAAAATAACAAGCATGACAATTTTAGGAGCAAAAATAAGTACTTTCAGTTATTAAATATATACTGTAAAACCTCTGTGCTCTCTGACAAGTTCACGACGAACACTGGCTCTCCTCAAGGAAGTGTATCATCACCATTGCTGTTCATTATGTCAACTAAATGACTCTCATCCAGGAAAGCATCAGGCTACATGAGACACATGTATGAGTGAACACCATTAGAACTTTGCCATGTATTTGTGCAAAATGTATCTTTCCATTGTAGTTTACAGAAGATATTCTTGAGGTCAAAATATGTCCACCATGTGCTCTCTCCATCTAATTATAAATATTTTATTGTCCAATAATCGGGAAGTGCACATTAGCATTTTCGTTATTACTGTAATGGCAAAATCCACCGGTGGTGAATAACTAGGATGAATAATGAGAAGACATAAGGTAAGTGAGGAAGACCCGTTTAAAATTAATTAGTGCTGTTTTTCATGTTTTTAAGACAGCACAAATCTGGTAGAACACCTTTAAAGGTGGTTTTGCATAAAACACTTTCAAAGGTAGTGTCCTTTCCTGTGGCCAAAACTCTGCTGAACGTTTTCTGTGGTGCTTTTGTGGAGAGACTCTTGACCTTTTGGATTATAGGCTGGTACAGGAAGCAACTGAAGCTTAAGAGAACTCGCTCAGGGAAATAGCCCAAATTGCAGCAAACACAGAGCATGAGTCTGAAGGGTCCGAACAGTGTGAGCAGTGTGCATAACACGTGTTCATCTGGAGACACAGACGCAGCTCAAACAGTATGAGATGACCCCACACACTCACTGCAGTGAGTGTGAGCTGCTGCCCTCAGGTCAGAGCATCAGTTGCCGTGCTCAAACAAGACAAGACCACACGTCATTCAGCAACTAAAAAACTGCACAAGTCTGATCCAATTATTAATCCAATTTATTTTTAAAATGATGTCAAAGTTTTACTTCAGGTTTTTGGATTATATTTTTTCAATAGTTGTTTTTGTGTTTTTATAATGTCATTCACTTGATGTGGAAAGTCTTATAAACAAGTGTTTTTACTCAGTGCAAACCAATTTCCTCACACGGTCTCTAAATGATGTCCTACTAGGAGAGAGAGAAAATAAATACAGATGTGTCTTTCCCTCTCTATATATCTCATGGATATTTGACTCTGTATCTGAGCGCACAGACCTTCCACAATCTGAATCTACTTCAGAGCTCTGAAATGATCTGAATGATTCTAGTGAAGGTGAATGCAATAACACAAGGGCTCTTCCTGGTTTCAATATATTTCATATGCAACATGTAAATAAAACAAAAACATACAGGTATATTTGTGAGTTAAAGCAACACAACACAACTTTCTGGAGGTGGCATGCCATCTGCATGATTGGACAGAAATAGAAAGTGGAGAGAAGGTTTTATGCCAGACTCTGGAAGATTATTGTTGTTTTTCCATCACTTAAAATTGTGTTGGTTTTCAGTCCATTTTTGGGGTAAAACGTTACACAGCGTAGAATGAACTCATTAAAAGAAATCAGCACATGTCACTTTGAAATTTCTCTTAAATGAATGTCTGACTTTGTCGTCTACAGGGGCATATCCTTGAATCATGACATTATGTAAAACTAATTACTGAGCACTAATTGTTATTCAGGCAGCTCAGCACAGAGAGCAGCTCAGCAGGGCGCCTACACCTTAAGAACTGTCTTAACGAGCTACAAATGAACACTTATATAATGAGAACTATCTGCAGAGGAAAACAGGGAGGCACTCAGGAGAAGAGGAGGGGGAGGGGCTGTGTACAAGTCCACAAGGCCACAGTACAATGCAGTACAAGAAAGTACACAGAAACAAACACAACAGAGGGTAATAGAATTTTCAGCACATATCCTGGTGTTTTCCCAAGAGCATTGAATTGTGATTGTGATTCTGAGCTCTGTTAAATGCAGTTCTAAGCTCAGACTCAAGCCAACACTGTAATAAGCATTTGTTCTCACAGTTTACACTATTTTCTGATCCATATTATAATGTTGTATTCTCATCAAAAAATTTTTTGCAGTTGTGTGTTTGGTTGTAATGAGATTATAGTCAAAGCCAAATCGTCTGACATACCTGGACTTGTATTGTGTTTTGTTCACACATATTTAACACACAAACTCATGCATATTTAGGCTTGTTTTTTCTCAGACAAAAAACACTCTGTTCCACCTTGTGATGTCATGTAGTGAAACTGAACCTAAGGTAAAATGTAGGAGTTAACTTGAAAACAACAACAACAACAATGTACAAGTAACAAGTAACAATGTGGAATAGAGCATTTTGAGCTTCAGAAAAGTAGGCAGACTAATAATGCAAGATAACTCAAAGATGTGTGAATGAAACAAAACAAACTCCAGGTATGTATTTGGTGAGGTAACGACATTATAACTAACTTAATGCTCAGAAAAGTACATTTTGTGTAATATAGGACCTTTTAGTTAAAAAAGGCATAAGATGTCCCCAGATCCAAAAGTTAACATGTTCAAATCAAATGCTCCTTTCATTGACACCGTTGTCAATAGGGCTGGGTATCATTCAGAAGTTGCCGATACGATACATACCTCGATACACAGGCCACAATATGATACATGTCTCGATACAGTGCACTTTCGATTCAATATGATATATTTCAAATTGATTCGATACGGTTCAATAAAAAATAAAGGCTAAATCGTGGCTGTGATACTAAAGGTCTTTGTTAAACCACTTCACTGGCAAAATTCATCCATCCATCCATCCATTTTCGTCCGCTTATCCGGGGCCGGGTCGCGGGGGGAGCAGCCTAAGCAGGGACTCCCAGACTTCCTTCACCCCAGACACGTCCTCCAGCTCCTCCGGGGGGACCCCGAGGCGTTCCCAGGCCAGCCGAGAGACATAGTCCCTCCAGCGTGTCCTGGGTCTTCCCTGGGGCCTCCTCCCGGCGGGACATGCCCGGAACACCTCCCGAGTGAGGCGCCCAGGAGGCATCCGGAACAGATGCCCGAGCCACCTCAACTGGCTCCTCTCGACGTGGAGGAGCAGCGGCTCTACTCCGAGCTCCTCCCGTGTGACTGAGCTCCTCACCCTATCTCTAAGGGAGCGCCCAGCCACCCTGCGGAGGAAACTCATTTCGAGCGCTTGTATCCGCGATCTCGTCCTTTCAGTCACTACCCAGAGCTCATGACCATAGGTGAGAGTAGGAACGAAGACTGACCGGTAAATCGAGAGCTTCGCCTTTCGACTGAGCTCCTCTTCACCACAACGGTCCGATACAGCGACCGCATCACTGCCGAAGCTGCACCGATCCGCCTGTCAATCTCACGTTCCGTCCTTCCCTCACTCGTGAACAAGACCCCGAGATACTTGAACTCCTCCACTTGAGGCAAAGACTCCCCACCCACCCGGAGAGGGCAAGCCACCTTTTTCCGGTCGAGAACCATGGCCTCGGACTTGGAAGAGCTGATCTTCATCCCAGCCGCTTCACACTCGGCTGCAAAACCGCCCCCCAGTGCACATTGCAGGTCCTGGTTCGATGAAGCCAACAGGACAACATCGTCCGCAAACAGCAGAGATGAAATCCTGTGGTCCCCAAACCGGACCCCCTCCGGCCCCTGACTGCGCCTAGAAATTCTGTCCATAAATACAATGAACAGAACCGGTGACAAAGGGCAGCCCTGGCGGAGTCCAACATGCACCGGGAACAGGTCTGACTTACTGCCGGCAATGCGAACACAGCTCCTGCTCCGGTCATACAGGGACCGGACAGCCCTTAGCAAAGGGCCCCGGACCCCATACTCCCAGAGCACCCCCCCACAGGACACCACGAGGGACACGGTCGAATGCCTTCTCCAGATCCACAAAACACATGTGGACTGGTTGGGCAAACTCCCATGAACCCTCGAGCACCCTATGGAGAGTTTAGAGCTGGTCCAGTGTTCCACGGCCAGGACGAAAACCACACTGCTCCTCCTGAATCCGAGGTTCGACTATCGGCCGGATTCTCCTCTCCAGTACCCTGGCATAGACCTTACCGGGAAGGCTGAGAAGTGTGATCCCCCTATAGTTGGAACACACCCTCCGGTCCCCCTTCTTATACAGAGGGACCACCACCCCGGTTTGCCAGTCCAGAGGTACTGTCCCCGACCGCCACGTGATGTTGAAGAGGCGTGTCAGCCAAGACAGCCCCACAACATCCAGAGACTTCAGGTACTCAGGACGGATCTCATCCAACCCCGGAGCCTTGCCACCAAGGAGCTTGCCAACCACCTCAGTGACTTCGGCCAGGGTGATGGATGAGTCCGCCTCCGAGTCCCCAGCCTCGGCCTCCTCCTCGGAGGACGTGACGGTGGGATTGAGGAGATCCTCAAAGTATTCCTTCCACCGCCGGACAACGTCCCCAGTCGAGGTCAACAGCTCTCCCCCCGCACTGTAAACAGTGTTGGTGAAGAACTGCTTTCCCCTCCTGAGGCGCCGGACGGTTTGCCAGAATCTCTTTGAGGCCGTCCGATAGTCCTTCTCCATGGCCTCCCCGAACTCCTCCCAGCTTCGGGTTTTTGCCTCCGCGACCACACGGGCTGCAGCACGCTTGGCCCGCCGGTACCTGTCAGCTGCCTCAGGAGTCCCCCGAGCCAGCAAGGCCCGATAGGACTCCTTCTTCAGCTTGACAGCATCCCTTACTTCCGGTGTCCACCACCGGGTTCTGGGGTTGCCGCCGCGACAGGCACCACAGACCTTACGCCCACAGCTCCGAGCAGCTGCATTGACAATAGAGGCCGAGAATGAAGCCCACTCGGACTCCATATCTCCAGCCTCCCCCGGAATCCGGGAGAAGTCCTCCCGGAGGTGCGAGTTGAAGGTCCCTCTGACAGAGGGCTCCGCCAGACGTTCCCAACAGACCCTCACTACACGCTTGGGCCTGCCAGGTCTTTCCGGCTTCCTCCTCCGCCAGCGAACCCAACTCACGACCAGGTGGTGATCAGTTGACAGCTCAGCCCCTCTCTTCACCCGAGTGTCCAAGACACGCGGCCGGAGATCAGATGACACGACGACAAAGTCGATCATCGACCTCCGGCCTAGGGTGTCCTGGTGCCACGTGCACTTATGGACACCCTTGTGCTCGAACATGGTGTTCTTTATGGACAAACTGTGACTAGCACAGAAGTCCAATAACAAAACACCACTCGGGTTCAGATCGGGGAGGCCGTTCCTCCCAATCACCCCTCTCCAAGTGTCACTGTCGTTGCCCACGTGGGCGTTGAAGTCCCCCAGGAGAACAACGGAGTCCCCGGTCGGTGCACTGTCTAGTACCCCTCCCAAGGACTCCAAGAAGGCCGGGTACTCAGCACTGCTGTTCGGAACGTAGGCCGACACCACAGTGAGAGACCTGTCCCCGACCCGAAGGCGCAGGGACGCGACCCTCTCGTTCACCGGGGTGAACTCCAACACACAGCGACTGAGCTGTGGGGCAATGAGCAGGCCCACACCAGCCCGCCGCCGCTCCCCACGGCCAACGCCAGAGAAATGGAGAGTCCAGCCCCTCTCAAGGAGTTGGGTTCCAGAGCCCAAACTGTGCGTGGAGGTGAGGCCGACTATATCTAGTCGGTAACGCTCAACCTCCCGCACAAGCTCAGGCTCCTTCCCCCCCAGCGAGGTGACATTCCATGTCCCCAGAGCTAGTCTCCATGTCCGGAGATCCGGACGCCGAGGCCCCTGCCGTCGACTGCTGCCCAGATCTCTCTGCACCGGCCCCATATGGATCCTCCTGCGGGTGGTGGGCCCACGTGAGGACGGCCCCACGTCGCTCCTTCGGGCTGAGCCCGGCCGAGCCCCGTGGGGGGAGGCTCGGCCACCAGGCGCTCGCTGGCGAGCACCCACCCCAGGCCTGGCTCCAGGGTGAGGCCCCGGTGACGCCAATCCGGGCGACGTAACTGGCCTTGCTCGTACACGCAAAATTCATATGAAACACAAACATTTTAATCATCAAAACAGTAAAAATATCAAATGTGTTGCATAAATGAGCTTTCTTTCACTCCACAAGCAACAAAACTGTAGCTCTGTAACAAAATAATTTAGTAAAACACACCTAAAAATACTCTTGGTGATATCGATACAGTAGCCCACGAAATCGATACTGTATCATCAATTAAATTATACGATATATCGATATTCCGATATTTGTGCACACCCCTAGTTGTCACCAGACTTCAGGCAAACCAGTGTTGCAGAGCTGGTCATTTGCAACCTGGGTCCGACAAGGCCATTTTGGATCAACTCTCAGTTAAACACTATGAGCCATATGGTGGTTAAGTGGCTAGCACTTACGCCTCACAGCAAGAAGGTTCCAGGTTTGATTTCCATTTTTTGTTTGAGCTTTTCTATTATTATTATATTTGAATCCTGAATTGCCCTGTGTTAGAACTTGTGCTTTTCATTGACTGGATAACAGTGATAAAAAGTGGCTGTAGCCCTAACAGAGAATTACCGTGCACAGGTCCTTGTACTGCATCTTCTGGAACTTGGTGTCAGCGTTTCCAGCACACAGCTCCACGTAGCCCAGCACCACCTGGAACACTGTGTTGTGGATGGCCTGGGTGAAGTGCATGTGCAGCTGGTCCATAGCCATCTGAAGGGACAGGAGCAGAAGTTAGGGAAGGACATAAGATATCACTATGTAGAACCATAAGAACTGTTTCTTCCCCACTGCTGTTGGACTCATGAACATTCATAACATCTGTCACTGTTACTGCCTTATTTATATATATATATATATATATATATATATATATATATATATATATATATATATATATATATATATATATATATATATATATATATATATATATATATATATATATATATATATATATATATACAATAAGTATCACGCTGAGCGAGGCAGCGACTGACCTGAAAGATAAGATCATGGCCCGAATGAACACAAGGCAACCCCGATGCCGGTTACAGAGGCTAAGTGAAGTACCATCTGAAAGTCTCCTAGACGATGTGAATGCAGCACTGAGAGCGATCCCTACCACAACAATCACTGAAACCAATGAGCTGATATACACTTCAGCAGCAGTGATCCTAGATGTGTTGGGCTATAAGAGCAACCATGGGAGCCATGCGATACAATACCCACCATGGCAAAGACGGTTAGAGGCTAAAATCAAGGAGGTGCGGAGAGAAGTGAGCCAACTGTCAGAGGCCCAGAAAGGTGCAATGAAAAAGCAAGTGCCCAAGAGGTACAACCAGTTGCCCATACCTGAAGCACTTGAAACTGCCAAACAAAGGCTCCAAGCCTTGGCCAGCCGCCTAAAGAGGTACACACGAGATAACGAGGCCAGACGAATAAACCGGCTGTTCGCAACACAACCGGCGAAAGTGTACGCTCAGTGGCAGGGTAATAACAGCAGAGCATACCCACCAAGGCTGGAGACTGAGAGGTACTGGAAAGGCATATGGGAAAGGGAGGCATCACATAACACCGATGCACAGTGGCTGGTGGATCTGAGAGAAGACCACAGCAACCTCCCTGAACAGAATCCAGTCACCATCACAGTGGCAGACATCCAGGGAAGAGTCTCAGGTATGAAAAACTGGACCGCACCGGGCCCTGACATGATCCATGCGTACTGGCTAAAGAAGCTCACTGCCCTCCATGAGCGCCTGGCAGCACAAATGAACCAGCTGCTAAGGGATGGGACTCACCCTGAATGGTTAACCCAAGGGCGTACGATCCTGATCCTAAAGGATCCTTCAAAGGGTGCAGTCCCATCCAACTATCGGCCAATAACCTGTCTCTCCACAACATGGAAGCTCATGTCAGGCATCATTGCGGCTAAGATAAGTGGGCACATGAATCAATACATGAGCGCAGCACAGAAGAGTATCGGCAAAAACACCAGGGGAGCCAAACACCAACTCCTGGTTGACCGAACAGTCGCCCGCGACTGCAGAACCCGTAAGACCAACCTGTGCACTGCCTGGATTGATTACAAGAAAGCCTACGACTCAATGCCACACACATGGATCACTGAGTGCTTGAAGCTGTACAATATCAACAGGACTCTAAGGGCGTTCATTGCGAACTCGATGCGGTTGTGGAAAACCACCCTTGAAGCCAAGGGGAAGCCACTTGCACACGTGTCCATCAAATGTGGCATATACCAAGGAGACTCACTGTCCCCACTACTGTTCTGCATAGGCCTGAACCCTCTCAGCCAAATAATCGACCGCACTGGCTATGGATACCGACTCAGAAACGGGGCCACCATCAGTCACCTCCTCTACATGGATGACATCAAGCTGTACGCTAAGAGTGAGCGAGACATCGACTCACTGATCCACACCACAAGGATCTACAGTACAGACATTGGGATGTCATTCGGGCTTGAGAAATGTAGCAGGATGGTGACAAAGAGAGGGAAGGTAGTCCACACAGAGGGGGTGTCACTCCCAGAGGGAACAATAGCAGACGTTGAGGACAGTTACAAGTACCTTGGTATCCCACAAGCAAGTGGCAACCTCGAAGAGGCAACAAGGAAAGCGGCTACGGCCAAATACCTGCAAAGAGTGAGGCAAGTCCTTAGAAGCCAGCTCAATGGCAAGAACAAGGTGCAGGCAATCAACAGCTACGCCCTGCCAGTGATCAGATACCCCGCAGGGATTGTAAGCTGGCCAAAGGAGGAGATACAGACCACAGATGTTAAGACACGAAAGCTCCTGACCATGCATGGAGGGTTCCATCCCAAATCCAGCACCCTGAGACTGTACGCAGGCCGGAAGGAAGGGGGCCGAGGACTAGTGAGTGTGGGAACCACTGTCCAGGATGAAACATCCAAGCTCCTTGAGTACATCAAGGACAAGGCCCCGGCAGATGAGGTGCTCAGAGAATGTCTCAGACAGTGGGGTCCAGAGGAAGAGGTGCTGGAGGGACCATCATGGCAGGACAAACCCCTACATGGGGCGTACCACCGGAACATAACTGAAGTGGCTGATATCAAGAAATCCTACCAATGGCTTGAGAGGGCTGGTCTGAAGGACAGCACAGAGGCACTGATCCTGGCTGCTCAGGAGCAGGCCCTGGGCACTCGAGCAATAGAGGCCCAGATCTACCACACCAGACAAGACCCACGGTGTAGACTGTGCAAAGAGGCTCCTGAGACAGTCCAGCACATAACTGCGGGGTGTAAGATGCTGGCAGGGAAAGCATACATGGAGCGACATAACCAAGTGGCGGGCATAGTGTACAGAAACATCTGTGCAGAGTACGGGCTGGAGACCCCAGGATCAAGGTGGGAAACACCTCCAAAGGTTGTGGAGAATGACCGAGCCAAGATCCTGTGGGACTTCCAGATACAGACTGACAGAATGGTGATGGCGAACCAACCAGACATAGTGGTGGTGGATAAGAAACAGTGCAGAGCCGTGGTGGTTGACATCGCAATACCAAGCGATGGTAATATCAGGAAAAAGGAACACGAGAAGCTAGAGAAATACCAGGGGCTCAAGGAAGAGCTGGAGAGAGCCTGGAAAGTAAAGGCATCAGTGGTGCCTGTGGTGATCGGAGCACTCGGGGCTGTAACCCCCAAACTGGAAGAGTGGCTACAACAGATACCGGGAAAAACAACAACAACGACATCTCAGTCCAGAAAAGTGCAGTACTGGGAACAGCAAAGATACTGCGCAGAACTCTCAAGCTCCCAGGCCTCTGGTAGAGGACCCGAGCTCAATGAGGGTGAGAGAGACCTACCACCGTGGAAGGTGAGAAACACATGACACATTTTATATATATATATATATATATATATATATATATATATATATATATATATATATATATATATATATATATATATTATATATTTTTTTTTTTATTATTATTATTTGTAAAAGGACAGGACATATTAATGAACATTTAAAGGTTGTATAGAGGATTTTCCAAGGAACGAGAAATCCAGCGACTGTTTGTCCTTTTTCAAATGTTGCGCATGCGTGAAACCACCCCCCCCTCCCCTACAGCTCCCTACGTAGAAACGCCTTCTCCCGCCTCCTCTTTACGCCAGAAACAGGTTTGTTTACAGCCGGTGCTGCACATGACTTGTAAACAACTAACTACAGTGTTGGTTAGGCAAGGTGGAGAAGTGAGGAGCGGGGGGAGCGGGTGCGCGGACATTTCGTTCACGGGACGAGAAGTGAGGAGCAGGGAGAAGAGCGGAGCAGGGAGAGGAGAGGGGAGAGAGGAGAGAGGAGAGGGGAGCGGTGCGCGGAGATTCCGTGCCCGGAGAACTGAGGAGCAGGGGAAAGAGCGGATCGGGCAGCGGGGACAGGAAAGGGGTGCAGAGAAGGTTGCGCGGAGATTCCGTACGAATGAACTAGCTACAACACGCAGCAGCAAGCGGACTCTTTCTTTGCCTTGAAAATTACGTTTTCAGACATAGGATATCGCTTTCGTGTCCTGAAAAACGTTTGTCTAGCTCTTGGAAATAAAGTACGTTTTCATAATAAGCAGAAGTGACCTGTCCAGGAGTAATTTGGCGACCAATGCGTCTGCTTCAGTTGCGCCATCGCTGGAATGAATCTACAAGAATCACCTTAGTTTGGCTTCGCTGCTTTTCCCCTTGTCTTCTTCTATCAGCGACCTCAAAAACGGACTTTCTTTTGCGGCTAACTGCTCCTGGATTCTTGTCGCCATTGCAACAAACTTTGTGCTAACTGCGAGGAAGATATAGGTCAAAAAAAAGCCGCTAAGAACTGTTGCGTTGGTGGAGTAAACAGCGTCTGTGCGGCTTGCGTCTGCGTGACAGGCGTACGTAAACCACGTACCGGCGGCGCGCAGGCAAGTCAGTTACGCTAGAAACTTAGGGAGATTGATTGACAGCCTGTCAGCTAACAGATAACGAGGCAGTGTCGTTATCTATTGGCAAATGTTTAGCTGGCCCCACCACGTCCAGAGTTGATGAATTTTTATTCTCTTTTTTTTGGTCATCATAATTACAAGGCTACTGCACCTCTATAATGCTATCATTGACAACTTGAAACAAAAACAAACAAAAAAAAAATCCTCCATACAACCTTTAAAATAATTTAAAGTCACTCGGTCCCCTATATTTGCCAAAAATAACATATTAACATGTTTTATAAGTTTCCTTTTTGTTTTTGATGCTCTGAGTCTGCCATCCCTTTGTGCTCTGAGCCAGTCACTCCCCCTTCAGAGCCTATCACAGCACAATCAGCATGTATCCCACTAATGAAACTACTGCACATAGCATCAGGTTTGTCAAGTTGCTTTGTACAGTTTTGGATCATGATTTTGTATATTTATGGAGAATTGTCATGCAGTAAATTGGGTGACATAGGCTTGTGTTCTGAGCATGGCATAGAATGTTACAGTTAAACAAAATGAGGGTTTGAATAGGGCCCTGGAGAGATCACTAAAATACTCAAACATGCATGGATGACTTCCGGCATGTTTTGACAAGGGAACAATGTTATAAAATGGAAGAAATGTTAAAAATGTGAATAATACACCCTCTTTCAACAACTGCACTTAACCAACATGCACTGTTCTTCTGCACATACTGTATATTTTGTACTGTATATCAAAGTCCTTTTTTTTTGTACGAACTTATTGTTTATCTATCATGCCGTAATGCATGCATGAAAACGCACAATTGTGGCAACTGAGTAGTGCAGAGACAGTGATTCATGTCACGCCTCTTCCAGGATCCCAGGACCCAGCAGTGTCCACTTTGGGACAGGGGACAGACTTCAGGACATGGGAGACACATGTGGGAGCCAGAGCCAAAGTGTGGCAGGTAAGTACCGTAGTGAATATTTTATTATGGGGTCCTGTGTATATGTGTGTGCATGTGTGCGTGCGTGTGTGTGCGTGTGTGTGTGCCAGGGTCCTGCAGGGGTCCATTTTTGGAGACCCACACCCGTCTGTTAACCCGTGATTATATCAAAGTTAAACCCGCCCCCGCCTGGACCCGTGAACATTCCACCCGTTACCCGCCCGTGCCTGTGATAAATCACACACAAATTAAAAGCATTCTAACTGAAGCATCCATCAGAATATGAATTCAAAAGTTACAACTTCAAGAATTACAATCACGAAATTAAATGAGTTACGCTTTCTTCAGTACAAATATGAATTCAGAGACGCGACTCGACTGTCATCATTTCACAGGCATTAGCAGAAGAAACACTGATCGAGATGCAGGACTTTTGCGCCGCACAGGCCGCGGACTAAACCAGGACTAAACCAGGACTAAACCAGGACTAAACCAGGACTAAACCAGGACTGACCCTGGACTGATTCCTGGACTGTACAAGGACTAAACCAGGACTCACTGTTGGGACAGGTCCAGAGGTGTAGGTGCACCCGTGTAGTCCATCAAGTGAGCGCAGGCTACACGCCGCACGGAGGGAAGCGCTGCGCTTTGCGGACACCTGCTCCACGGGCTCAGGGTTCTCTCCCTGTCTCTTAGGTCCAAGATTAGTCCCGCTTTAGTCCTGACCCACCCGTGTCTAATCACTACCCCCTGCATACCCGCCCGTACAATTCCAGAACGTTAAAACCTGCCCCTTTCAGTACCTATTTGCCCGTACCTGTCGCGTGCCCCCGGTGCAGGACTCTGGTGTGTGCCTGCGTGCTCTACTCACCTGAGTCTTGCCCAGCAGCGAGTACGCCCTTTGCACTTTAGTGTAGTGCACCACCTCAAAGTGCTTACAAGTCTTTGACAGGGCCACGTCCAACTGCTCCTGAGGAGGGAGACAAACACAAAAGAGGGATGAGAGAGAGAAGGGGATGAGGCCGGAGGAGGGGGTTGGAGGAGACAGAGGAGAGGGAAAGGGGAAGGAGAGAAAGGAAAGGTGGAAAGGATAGTGAAAGAATAAGATAGGAGGAGAGGAGGAGAAAGAAACAAGGAGAGGAGGAGGAGAGAGGAGAGAGGAGGAGGAGGAGAAAGATGTAGGAGGAGGGAGGAAAGACAAAAAAGGATAACAGCAACAGAGGGAGGATGGGAGGGGGAGGACAGAGGAGAAGCATGGAAATGAGAAAAGAATGAAAGGAGAGAGGAGGCAAAACAGAATGAGACAGGAGAAATAGAGTGGAGGGTAGAAGAATAGTGAAAAAGTTGGATCGGGGTATCCTTAGTGCTTAAAGTGTGTCATAGTTTCACATCAGTTAAGGGGCAGTCTGTAAAAAAAAATCTCCCCCAAAAAAAAGTAAAAAAAAAAAAAATACAGCAAGTTAGTGCTGTTTCCTAGAACAGATACTTATAAACAAGGAAAACACCATCCAAAATGCAAACAATTTATGCACAAGGGAGGACATTTTTTGACTTTATTAAATAAAATAAGCAATAAACATTATCTCAATCTTTAGAAAACTCTTAAATATATTTACAATAAGTATGTTTTAGTGAAATGAGTGGTCTAACCTATGCACTTTAAAATTAAGATATTCTATGGGGCCCAAAAGAAAACAGATGTGCCCCTTGCATTTGACCCAACCACTCTGTACTGCCTCATGTCTACTGCTTGTTTGCTGTTCGGCAAGACACTTGACCAACCTCGCCCTCAGGAGGGAATGAATAATGCATAAAACGGTATGGGAGTTAGTGTGGCGTAATATCCATCCATGACACAGGAACTCACTTCTATCTGCTCCAGCGTGTCCTGTAGTTTGGAGTTCAACTCACTGTAGACACAAAACATTGACAAATACTGAAAAAAGTGCTACAACAAATTTACAAGTAAAAAAAGTGAATAATGAAAATATCATACTGCATTGGTTCTCAAACTGTGGTACGATGTTATAAGATTTTGATTTTCATAAACATGATTTGTGGCCTCAGTAAGGTCAGTATTGAAAATCTGATAGTAATCAATACAAAAACTAGTATGGAAATTAGATAATCATTTGAGCAGGCATCCATACTAAAAAAGTTCCACTGACAGGACAGAAATGAAGCTTTCCTGACTAACTTTAGAATGAGCTGTTTCAGAACAAGTATAAGAGCACACAGACTAGTATACACCCATGGACCACTATGGAACCTTCCCGGACCACTGAATATTACACAGATATGTATAAGGCCACATGGGAATACAAAAGAAAGTACTGCCCGCCCCATGAAGTTGGAGGACAAAGTGCGTACGTCACCAGTGGCGGTGAAAATGGGAGTAGATCAGAGCAATGACATCATGAATACAGGAGAATAAAGATAACTCAAACATGCACGGCTTACTCTAAATACAACTGTAGAGGGTCATTGAGGAGGAAACAGCTGTAACATTGTTAAAAGCTTTGAAAAGTTCAGCTTGCATATAGTGACTCCCTACATATGAGAGTAAATGTGATCATGATTCCATTTGAATGACACAGTAAGTAGAACTGTATTTGTATCAGAGATGTGAGTTTAGAGGAGCCTCACATCACACAGAATACATGAATAACTAATGAAAGGAAGCACTAATTAATCAGGCCCTGAGGAGTATAGGAGGAGAGAGGAGAGATAAAACGGTGAAAAACACTGAGCCAGATCCAGATAATGTGGCTTACAGCTGTGGGCTCTGGGTGGCTCCTGTCGCTGTGAGGCGGGCATGCACCACCTTACCAACTCACAGTGATCACAGCACTTGCTACAGATGTGCACTCATCTGTGTGCACAACAACACTAAAGCTTTTATCATTGCTAAAATGTAGATGGCTCAAAATATCCATTATGTTTCTGATCTGTTCTTTTTTATTTTTTCATTTTTTGTTTATAGATCACAAAAGACCTCTGATTTTAATTTAATGAGTTATTTTATTTCTATGGAGTATAAACTGCTAACACATATTTAGATCACCATGTTACCCCCCCAACTTAACTTAGTTGTGTCAAATACTTGACAGATGAGTCGCGGCAAAAACAATACCTTTATACAGAGACAAGCAAGTGTGGACCTTTCACCAGAAATGTTACCTGGTTTAGTCCTGGTTCTGTCCTGGTTCTGTCCTGGTTCTGTCCTGGTTCTGTCCTGGTTCTGTCCTGGTTCAGTCCTGGTTCAGTCCTGGTTCAGTCCTGGTTCAGTCCTGGTTCAGTCCAGGTTTACAGTTACATATTGCAACTTTAAATGACATGAGAAATCTAATACCTGACCTGACCTTTGCCCTTACCTGATGCAGCTGTAATGTTTGAAGGTGCTGGCGGCCTTCTGACACTCAAGACACAGCTGGATGGCTCCTGGATAATCCTCCTCCTGCACACACATGCACACATACGAAAGACATCTTTAATGTGAAACAAATATTCTGCCCCACTGTGATAAAGGTTTTGACTGAAGGGCTCAGGTCGGTACTCAGAACTGTCACTGGAAAATCACAGAATGAAAACCTGCATCCAAAGTCTACTGCATAAGATGGATATTTACTAGTATTTGACCGATATTTTTTCACCAATACTGATTGTTTAGAATCCTGAGTCGCTGATGACCTATAAGTTCTGCCAATATTTGTAAATAATTTTGTTAAAGGGCCTGTACCAGATTTTGATCTATTCTTGTCAATGTAAAAGCTCTTTCAGCAGCTTTTACATGATTCATACATGATGTAAAGTTTACATCATGTATTGGTTGTAAAAGCTGCTGAAAAAAAACTGACTAAAAAATATAATGTGTTATTTTTTCTCAGGTAATAACTAATAGAGAAGCTACAGACAGGGTGACCTATCAGAATCATGGGGAATCAATTGACAAAAATAGCCCTACTCGTCTTTATATTTACCAAAAACTGAAGGTGGAATTTGAGATCTGATGTTCCTCTGAGTATAGGTTTTTCACATTTATAATTGGAGTATACATAGTAGACAAGGCAGAGGCCAAAACCAGTGTCTCAGTTTCACAAAGAGACAGCCATCTGTGTGTACTCCAAAAGAGTCACACACTGATGCAGTTTGAATAGGGGAAATTTTAGGCAGTTTAGGGGGAAAACATCTAGGAGAAAAAAAAAAAAAAAAAAAAAAAGGGAATCACTTTGTTCCAATTTGTGATAATACATGTGATAATACAATAAGTGCTCCAATGTGTTTTTAAAGTTAAAATATTTTTTGCCCTGGAATTGCTAATCTCTGCTTCAGTAAAGGTAAAATGGGCTGTTAACTTGGAAACTACGCTGCTTGACATTATAAGGTGCATTTTGAGCTATGGAGACGTAAACAGACAAGAAACCATTTTGTGTAATATAGGACATTTAAAATGGCTGTAAGATTGAAAATGTGTGGATTTTGTTCTGTCTTGTGCTTTCGAAAAGGGTGAATCTCCCTACAAGACCTGCCCCCCGTCTGAATCATGACATCAAATTGTAGAATGTCATGAACCCAAATTACAGGAGTTTATGTTTATGAGTTTATGTACCCAGGCATGTGGTGGACAGTACAGCTCGTACACAGTCCAGACTGAGTGACCTTCAGAGCTGGTCCTTCTACACAGCCTCTGGGGAATGTGTGTGAACGGTGCCCAGGACAGAGTGTAGCATGGATAGGTGACGCCCACAGGCATAGGGGGATTTAAGTGGATGGAACAGAAATAAAGTAGGAGGGTTGTGAGTGAATATATTTCCAATGAGTAGAACAGCAACCAGCTCCGCTCACACCTACAGCCTCAGCCCCGCTCGCACCTACGGCCTCAGCCCCGCTCGCACCTACGGCCTCAGCCCCGCTCGCACCTACGGCCTCAGCCCCGCTCGCACCTACATCCTCAGCCCCGCTCGCACCTACAGCCCGCTCGCACCTACGGCCTCAGGCCCCGCTCGCACCTACGGCCTCAGGCCCCGCTCGGCACCTCGGCCTCACACCTACGCCTCAGCCCCTCGCACCTCGCACCTACGGCCTCAGCCCCGCTCGCACCTACATCCTCAGCCCCGCTCGCACCTACATCCTCAGCCCCGCTCGCATCTACGGCCTCAGTCCCGCTCGCACCTACATCCTCAGCCCCGCTCGCACCTACAGCCCTGCTCACCTGCCTTTGGATTGGTTTCAGTCCTGCTTTATTCCTGGCACAGTTCTGGCACACTCCTGGCACAGGAGGACACCACCCCTCCCTTAGCTCTTTGTCCTACAGCCTCTCTGTATGATCGGAGTGACTCATCATGTACAAGAGATTTCTTACACCATTATCAGGCTGCATAAGTGCCTCTCCTGCTGCACCTGTCACACAGCCAGGTGTAGTGTGTGGAGTTCACTCATAAACAAGAACATTATACAATATGAAAAGTGTGTTGCCTATGGACGAGATCTGAACTGTTAACCCTGTGCCCTCTCCCCTTCTCACATATGTGTGTTAAAGGCTTGCGATGTATGAGAGTCCTCACCTCTAGCATCTCACTGAGGCGCACGTCTGTTCTTTGCTGCAAACACAAAAGGTTAAACATGTTAAAATGTGACATGAGGTGACAATAAGAACACACATGCACAAGGCACTTTTGTGCATATGAACAGCTCAGACCAATCCAAACATGCGCTTATTCTGTCAGTATGTCTATGAGTATCTAGTGTCAAGACTGGTTTTAGTTTTTAGGTGTATTATGACAACCCTAGGTCAATGTGATATTTTCAAAATGTCATATTGTGGGGTCATTAAAAAAAAAATTTGGGAGCTCCAAAGAAGTGCAGTGCAGATCTGTTTTTTTTTTTTGTTTTTTTCACAATTTTTGTCTTTGAACCCAGCATGCAGTCGCAAAGTTTTATTGGATGTGCATGTCTCTGTCTACCAATATTACAGTCTTAAATCACTACGTGTCTGATTTTGATCATTTCAATCAATCCTAGTCTGAGCAGACTCCACTAAACCAATAGAGGATTTGTATGAAAACAGCTGAAGCATACACACATCGTACCCTGTGTGCTAAAGACAGGGCCTGATGACTCTGTCTGTTGAGCTGCACTGAGACTTTTGTTTGAGCTTTCTATTATTACTGTATTTTACTGCTCAAAGTGCTTAGGGACAAATAAAGTCATACTGATTGATTGAAGCATAATATTTAGATGATAGTGATACACTGATGGTATTTGTATAATCCATATGAAATGAGCTTCATGCTCTGTTTAAGGTGCAGCATCACACATCAAATGAAGGGACTGCAATATGATCACATTTTACACTTGTTTGAACGAGTATGCCACAAGTTAGTTTCTGTTCTTTTTCTGCTTTATCTACTGTTTGCAGCTTTGCCATATTTCCTTTTAGAAATGTTTATAAACGACACACATGAGATCGAAATGGGCTAATCTTTAAAAGAGCTATTCAAAAGAGTGGCCAACTCAAGAATTACTAAGAACTGCTCTGCTACTGCACGATAAAGTCTATTGCATTTTCTTGTACATTAACATTTATTTTCACTGCATACTTTCTCCTTCCTAGCTGTATTAGATCAGTTTCAGGTTATGTACTGGTTTAGTAGTTTAGTATTATATTAGTCCTTGCTTAGTCCTGATTAAAGGGCCTGTACCCAAATTTTCCCCATGGATTTGAGCAAAATAAACTCACTGCTGTTAATAATTAAGATGTTCAGAATGCATAAGGTAAGTGAGGAATAATTTTTGACTACTGCAAACTGTTAGTTCTGTTTTTCACATTTTAAAATCATCTTTAAACCCTGGTTTGAGTCAGATGGTATGCTGGTCTAGTATTACTTTAGGATTAGTTTAGTCTAGTCTTAGTCCTGGTTTGGGTCAGACTGTGTGTTGCTCACCAGAGTCTTGATGGTCCTGAGGGACTTGAGTAGACCGGTCAGTAGCTGTCTCCTCCTCTGATTGGCCAGCAGACCCAGGCAGGCCTCAGTGAAGCCCTCCTTAGCCCCGCCCAGTTGCCTTCACACAGAAAGAGGAAACATTTACACAAAGGTTTTAAAACACTTTAGGATACCCTTATTTTTTGAAGCAAACAAAAAGAAAATGTGAAAATTTTCAATAACAAACATAACATAGAAGAGCCCTGGCAGGAGCACAGGGCATTACCTTCGGGCGTTGGTGCAGATGACTGCTGCCAGCTGTAGGTTGGTCTGCAGAGCGGTCACCCTCTCCAGCTCCTGTCCACGCACACACACGCACGCACACGCACGCACATGTAAGATCTTTTTAAGGCTTTTTAAATGCTCTTTACTCTAAATGCAATGCAGTCATCACAGGCAAGATTAGGCAAATGTGTTTATACAACTATAAAAAGGTATTAATTCTGTAGTGATATTATATTTGATTACTTATTTATGATTATTATTTATTGGCACACCAGTCCACACTAAAAACATAAATGCACTTTTAAACATGCTTTTTGTCACCTTTATATTGCAGATGGAATTCAATTCTGTCACTGGACAAATGTTTAAGAATGAAGACATCTCGCTGCTCAGTCAACCGGCTTCTTGAGTTCTGAAGAGCACTGTCATGTGCCTGAAGGCACATGTAGTGCCCAGAGGAGCTAACTACACTGGAACTAACACTAACAAAGTCAACACCTTCACACTAAAACTTTTGTCCTGTTGACAGAATTGATTCTTTTGCTCTGAAGACTACTATCACACCTTTACTTCTTTTTTTTTTCTCAGTTTGTTTGTTGTTTTTTTTACAGCAGATAACGGATGTGTTCATTCTTTCTTTAAGTTATTTTGAGTAACCAGTAAAGCACCAACTAAACAGTAAGGATGCACCAATACCAATATTGAAAATCAGTGTAGATTCTGAAAAATTTGCTGGATCCAGAATTGGTCCCATGATATCGGTTCAGTCAATATCCAGGTTGGGCCTGGATGAAGGCCCATACAAAGTCAATGGTTAGTTGAAGGATAATAAATAACAGTTACATAACACTATTGGATCGATTTTGTAATAATGTAAACTGTCCTTAGAGAGAAAAAATGCCATTTTCAAACACTATATTGTATATCAGATATTGGCAGATACTTAAAGTTAGTTTCAGTATCGGTGTCAGAGCAGAACCAACGAGGCCTATAGTTTGTACCTTTACATAGGCCGGCTGCTTCTCCAGGATCAGGTCTGCCACCTTCTTCGAAACCTGGAAAACACAATTATTACTACTGCAGGTGGGAAGGATCCACTACACTCCTGACATTCATTCATAGTACTTAATTTCAATGTCATATTGTAGCCACTTTAAAACAAATGCAATAAAAGTTACAGATGAAAGTTAAGCTGCATGGCTAACTCTGACACATTTACATGCTGTACTAGCACATAGGCATGAGAACAATAATATTGTTTATCATCATAAAAAGGTACATCAATAATCATGGTACATTTTGTATAGGCAACAAAAAAATGCAGAAAAGGCAGAAAAATGCCACTTACCACTGACATTCTCTTCTCGATAATTTTTGTTTTCACTTATAAGAAGTTTGTTTTTATAAGAGTTTGCATATGGAACCTATTCATAATATTAAAATTTGAATTATTCATATCAATTTTTAAACTGTCAGCAACATTCATAGTTATTGTGATATAATCTTCATTAGTTAATTTTCAATATTGTCCCATGCCTACTAACACATGCTGATTAATGCGCACTGTCCCATATTTAACTAGAAAAGCACTCAGAGAGCGCAGACCTCCGCCAAGGACTACCCCCATTTTTTATATAAATTGCGATAAAATCAGTCTTCTGGATCAGATCCGGATCAGCCTTTGGAATATTAAAGAGGATCCCATTGTCCATCCCTGAGTCAAATTTCATGAGGTTTGGTCAATAATTAACCGAGATATTGAGAAACAAAATTTTTGGCCCCATTTACCACAATGTTAACTAAAATTTCAAAGTGATCCAGAATCCAGGATTTCTTCCGCATCACCCCCAAAATGAAATCAGTTCTTCCTTTTCACATTTCCAACAAATCCTGAAAATTTCATCAAAATCGGTCCATAACTTTTTGAGTTATGTTGCTAACAGACAAACAAACAAACAAACAAACAGACAAACGCCGGCAAAAACATAACCTCCTTGGCGGAGGTAATAAATAAGCATAAACATAAACTCAGATGCAGTGTCCCCCGGTAGTGTCATGTATTGTAGTTTCCAAACTCAGTGTAGTACCATATTTTTCAAACTATAATTTACTCTGGAGTTTAAGTCGCAGCAACCAAAAAATGAGTGATGAGGAAGAAAAAAAAACATATATAAGTTGCACCGGAGATGAGGAACAGACATTTCATCAAGTTATAAATTTGAGTAATAACAATAGAAGAGAGAACAACAGGCTGTTAACGTCACATATCAACAGTTCTTCAGATAACTATAACATAAACAACAGAACAGAACAAGTTTACCAAACTCTCCATCTCACTCCAAATCTCTTAATCACTTCTGGGCAACTCCGCAACCTCCGGAGAAAAAGAGAGCGCCACTTCCTCTTCTGCGTAGCTGTCGTCAGACTCAGACTCAGTTCCAGTTAGAATTAATCCGGCCTTTCTGAATGCCAACAGGATGGTTTCAGTGTCACTGAAGTCCATGCTTTGTCAATCCATCCAGTGACTTCCAGGAAAGTTGCACGGCACACCCTACCCGTTGCTGTGAAGCTGTGTTCTCCATCCCCATCTTTCTCCAGTCCCTCACAAGTGTCTTGCTCACTCCAGACTTTTTTTTTGCTGCTCATTTACCGTTTTCGGCTGCACATTTCACTTGGAGTTTGTAATCTGTCAGATATGATTTTCTTTTTGGGGGCATTTGTGTTCAGACTTCTCAGTTGTCTTTCTAAGTTTGTTTATACGCCAAGTTTGTACAGAAGTAATAGTGCGATCGACTGACCTGATACAGACAGGACAGCGGCTCTTTCTGCAGGAGAAATGCGCAGTAGAGCCAAGTGCCAGTAATAATAGCAGCAGCAGATACTGACACACAAGCTTAGAGTGCCCTCTCGCGGCTGTCAGTGTGAAAATTTTAATATACAAGTCGCACCAGAGTATAAGTTGCAGGACCATCCAAACCATGAAAAAAATTGCGACCTATGGTCCGAAAAATATGATACTCTAAAGCCCTGGTAGTGTCATGTATAGTGTCCATACTCACAGCGGCTTGTTGCCTCTTCAGCTTGTCCCTGTATTGCTCCAGCTCCTGCAGGTTGAGCTCCGGGGGCAGTTTCTTTTCAAACACACAGACCCATAAGGAAAAAACAGGAAAAAAATATATAAGAATTTACCACTGTCTTTGTAGTAAATCTTTATATAACGTTAATATGTATCATGTGTGGTTTACTCCTGAAAGTGGCCCCTTTTGCATTTTTCTCATACAACTATATTATGAAAAACTAGTAAAGATAAAGTGAACATTTTGCATGACATTTACAGGTAATGTGCATGATAAACTACATTTTCTTTGTATTATTATGTAATGTTTGTATTCTTTAATTATAAGTTGCAGTTAAAAAAACAAAACAAAATCTTAGGCAGAAGGGGGATTTGAACCCAGCTTGCCCATGTGATAGCACAGTGCCTTACCAGTGGAGCTAACCAGCTACAACCTATAGAGGGAACTATAGCAGATGTTGAGGACAACTACAAGTACCTTGGTATCACACAAGCAAACAGCAACCTCGAAAAGGCAACAAGGAAAGTGGCTACAGGATTTTGCAGAGTAAAAATCTTTTCACAGCCTGTATGTTCACTGTGACATCAGTGGAAGAGTGCTATGTCTTATGTTTTTTAAGGTCGCAATGTAATATTTGCATTACTGTATTTACACCCATGCTGCCCAACACACACACACACCCCACACACATAAACACACACGCACCCCAACACGCACACACAAACACACACACACACACACAAACACACACGCATACACACACACGCATACAAACACACACACAGACACACACTGTGATACATGCACAACACATGACCTTTGTCCAACACTTGTAAGGATATTGTATGTGGGATTAGTGTCATATTCAGCCCTTGTAGGTTACAAAGTTTGATATGTTTTATGCTGCACATATTTACTAAAGATCTTGTAACTGTTTTCACTGTCATATACAAATCTTTTAAGATTCAGATAAAACATGTTAAAATGGTGTATGATTTGTCTCTACCTTTTCCATATGGGGACACACACACTGAGGAAGGTCAGGTGGGTCATTATGTTATAATTTGGACATTTTAAATCAAAATATTAATCTAAAACCACGTAATAAAAGAGCTCAGAGCTTTACAGAGACTAATTGCTGACATGGATAGCTGCAGATCACGACAGAAAGTATGTATATGAGCACATGTGAAAAAGTACATGGGCAGTAGGGGAAAATGGGATATTTCAGAGCAATGATGTCCTCTATGCAGCAGAAAAAAAAAACTCAAACAAGCACAATTCACTCTAAATAAGTGTGTTAAATGTGAGGGGAAAAACTCTCAAATTGATTTGGCACAATATATCTCCTTTAAAAAACACTAAAATTATACGTTTGAAATGATATCCTATTATTTAAAGAGTGTGGTTTACTATCATTGAGGTAAAGAATATCAAGGCTTTTCCTGAGAGTCGAAACAGGAATTGGACTTTCTGTAATGTGACATGTGGGCAGTGCCAGGAGGAGGTGAGGTGGCGTGAGGACAGGGTGAGTGATGTTTTTTATCATAACACTAACAAATGTGAGGCAAAACTACTTATAAACCAAGAGCTCTCCCACCACAGATGTGTGGAGGGAGGAGCCCGGGTTTACTAAAGCACAACCAAGCAGCCTGAGCAGATGTTACAGACCAGTGGCCCAGAGGATGATGGGTAATGAAGTTCCTCTTGACTGGGAGCCTCATTTCAGATAGAGCTGTTCTCCCAGGATTCTAATTTAAATAAAGATTTCACAGCCGTGTTCTGCACAACCACACAATCTATCAATCTAAGAGCTGAGCAGAGCAGAGGGAGGCTGTCACTCTCACTAACAGGACAAAGTCAGGATTAAAACAAAACTAAAAACCTAAACTAGATCCAATACAGTCCTGACCTAGTCCAGAGGTGGGCCTAATCCAGTCCTAAACCAATATAGACGAGGGACAGTCCAGTACAGATTTTTTTAACAGTTATCGATATATTTGTCTTGCTGTTGCCCGATAACTTAAGATTTTATATCTATAGTACAGACCAAATTTAAAGACATGTTTACAAATGTACTTTTTGCTTTAGTAAAAATGTATTTATGTGGAAAATACATTCATATGTTCACTCATAAGTAGGGGTGTGTAAAAACATCGATACACTGTATTGTTTATGTGCTGCTGATACAGTATTAATATTGTGGGCTGCTGTATCGACATATCGCAGAGCTATTTTTGGGTATATTTTCCTAAATCATTTAGTTACAGCTAGTTTTGTTGCTTGGTTAGAGGAAGGTAAATTGTTTATGCAACACATTTGACATATTCACTATTTTGATTATTAAAATGGGTGTATTTCATATTTACTTTGCACAAGTGGTTTAACAAACACTTTTATTTTCACAGCCATGATTTAGCAAATCTTTTTTATTGAACCGTATCGAATCTATTTGAAATATATCATATTGATTCGTATCAAATCGTGGTACGATGGGGCGCCAGTGGCAAAAAAACTGTCGTTGTGTCCTTAGGCAAGACACTTCACCCACATTGCCTAGTATGAAAGTGGTGTGCGTGAGTGATGGTGGTCGCAGGGGCCGATGGTGCAGATTGGCAGCCTCGCTTCCGTCAGTCTGCCCCAGGGCAGCTGTGGCTACAGTAGTAGCTTACCACCACTGAGTGTCGAGTGAATGAATAATGATCTGTAAAGCACTTTGGGTATCTTGAAAGGTGCTATATAAATGCAATCAATCAATCAAATCCTAAGCTCACTGTATCGAGATATGTATCGTATCGTGGCCCATGCATTGAGGTATGTGTAGTAGGGGTGGGCGATATCTCGATATTTTTAATATATCGAGATTTTTTTAAAACTCGATATGAATTCTGACATATCATATATATCGATATAATGCTTATATTCAATTTTGATTTTGCCGCTTTGCTTGTTTGTTTCTCTGTCGCCGCCCGCGCGCCTCCGCCTCCCTAATTGTGTTCGCTGGTGTCTCATTCACTCCTCACTATCGCCGTGAATGCTAAAAGTTGCTGCCAGTGAAAAGCTTCTAGCGCCACGAAACTTTTCCACCATTTACAGACAAAACCATCAGCAACACATCCTCACATTCCACCAAGTCGTGTCCTTTAGTCCAAAAGAAGTTGAACCGCAAGAGTGGCACGTGGAGTGCGCTGTTTATGCAAATTAGCCATGCGCTTTTTAAGTTTCGTTTCTGTAAAACGTAAACAAGTCTGCGCAAAGCTGCAAAAAATAAAATAAAATAATTAACACTATAATCTCAAACGGGCTGATGTGGCTCTTGAGTCGTTATGCGAAATATCTTGTAAAGTTTAGTAATGTAAATTCTATTTATGCAGAAGATTTTAATTAATAATCTGTTGCAGTGTCACTTGTACAAAAGTGTTTGGAAACGTTGGGTTTGATCTGCAGTGGATTGTGGGAAACCTCATAGCTCCTTACTGCTGGATAGGAACATGGATCTGTTAAAATATGGAACATTCTGAACTTCTTCTGTTAAAAGAGTTCATGGTTATGGTTATGGTCTGGATAACAGAGTTAATGCAAAGATGAGCTTGTGCTGAGTTGTTTTATTTATGAATGAAACAAAGGAAATATGTTTTATTTCTTTTATTTGACAGTTAAATTATTATTTATGTAATTAGGGTTTTTTGTAATCTTAAATGTTCCTATATGAACTGCCTACTTCTTACACTTTAATTTTTTAAAAAAGGACCTTGTGGAATTTGGCATATTTGTTTTTGCAGTTTTCCGTTTTAGGGAGTTATTTTTTCCTGTACAGATATCGAGATATTTATCGTATATCGAGATATAGCAAAATATATCGAGATATATTTTTTGATCCATATCGCCCAGCCCTAATGTGTAGTATCAGCAACTTCGTAATGATACCTAGGCTTACTCATAAGTGTATTCAAAAACACACATCTGATGCACTGGGACTAAACTGGGAAGGACACATGGCCACACCCCTCCAATATCACACATATCACTGATAAACCCTCCCTAATATCTATTCTCGTTTACATCACAAAACTGCCCAGTTTTCTTTATCTAGATGTCATTGTATTCTTTCTTTTTTCCTTTTATAAATTGCCTATTAATGTTTGTATTATAATTTGTCTAATAAAAAAAAAAAAAAAAAAACATGTCATTGTAGTGTTCCGTTATGTTAAACAGATCAACAGTTATAACCAGCTGCCTGTAAGTGACACTGAAGACGCCATGAGTCACGTCCCCCATGGAAAGCTTTGGCAGGTTGTGAAGAATCCATGGTTTTATTATAAGTTATTTTAATAGATTTACAGTTTAATCACATGTCCAGATCATTGTCCAATGTCAGTAACTACCCCGGAAGTCGTCATCCACATATTTCCAAACGTCTTCCAGTAAGCGTGACTAAAGCATACACTGGTATCAGTCCACATCCAGTACTGACCAGTCCTAAACCAATTCTGACCCAAGCAAAATCCAGTTATGATGTGGGCCAAATCAATTTCTGAACCAGTACTAACCCAAACAAAACTCACTCCTGTGTGACACAATATTAAACCAGGCCTAGCCAGAGCCGACCTCCATCAAACCCAGTACAGACTACTGTTGTCACCATACTAAAATGTCAAACTCAATTTTGATACTATGCCACACTCAATATCAATTCCGATATCACTATAAGAAAAAAACATTTGTTTAGACAATAGGATGTGATTTTCAAGATTAAACAGTAGTGCTTTCTTTTATATTATCATCTTATATCTGTGCAAGCCCTCAGTTGTCCAAAGTGTCCATGTTTGTATACCAGACTATGTGCTCTTCTACTTGTTCTGATACAGCTCAACATCATTCTAAAGTTTTTCAGGAAAGGTTCATTTCCGTCCTGTCAATGGGGCTCTTTTTGTATCGATATATGCTCAGATGAGTATCTAGATTGAGTATTAGTTTCAGTGTTGATTAATATCTGATATTGAACCAAACCCAGTCTGGGACCTGGGCCAAACCTTGTTGGTCTTACGACAGTCCAAACCCAGTCCTGACCCAGTCCTGACCCAGTTCTATCCCAGCCCCTGTTAGACCTGGACCAGTGGAATGTGAAGGCTTAAATCCCCTTCGCTCTTAGATCACTTTAATGCCTCCTGACAGGACATCAGAATTAATTTACAACACACTGTATGCATACACACGCCAGCTATTCACGAGAGCAACATACAACATAACTATCTATAACATAACAGTAATGCTGTAGTGTCACTAACAATGACCTGTGTGCACACACACACACACGCACACACACGCATACACACACACGCACACACACACATACATGCACACACACATGCACACACACACGCATACACAGGACTTGTGTGTCCTGCTTCTACTTCCTGTGTCCGTCTTTGTGGCCAGTATTCTTGTACAGGGGTCAGTGTTTGTGCCAATTCTCTGTCAGGAAATGCACATTGAAAACAGTTCTGTCAATGCCGATGAATCAGGATTAATTATATAGTGCAAATGCACCCTGCTATGGTTGGCTTGGTGTCTTCAGTGTTCTTTAGTAGTTTGGTGAAATATTTTGTCAGATTATGTCTTCAGTTTTAGCACTCACATATGTAAATCTGATTTATTATCCTCATCCACAGTGATGGTGGTTTGTTCTACAGTGTGGAGCAGAGCCTCCACTCTCTGCTCTCACAGACCTGAGCAGCTGTGTGATCTGTGTCCATGTAACAGCTGATGACTTTCTGTGCATGTTTAAACACCTGATGTCTCCCAGTGTGCTTATGAAATAAGGTTCAGTCAGACCTTCTGATTCATTTACATTCATTCTGAATTTAATTCATGCATTGTTTGTGTGTTAATACATGTCATGTCATAATTTAAGGCCTTTTTATATATAAAAAAAAAAGTCATATTGATTGATCAATATGAGGGAACACTGTGACATTTTTGATTGTACAGCCATAATCTGAACATTTCTATTCATGACAGTACTAGTACACTTGTCAGATGTGTAGTCATGGTGGTCTCATGTGACAAACTTGAGCTTGGCAACAGTGCTGTTCAGCCTCTTACTTGGTGCAAGTGACCACAGGGAAAGCAGGCACCAACTGGTATACTATTAATGTTCATATCTTGATTTAGGGACAAAATAGTGAAATAAAATCACCAGGATCAGGATATTTTAAGACCAAAATGACGAGGCTGACAGCAGCAGTTACAGAGCGAGGGGTGACAGTTTTCCAACAGAAAGTGAATTGTAACTACAGCTTGAAGGAACCACTTCATGCCCATGCTCACTTCCTATTTGGAACGAGGTTGCTAGTGTGTTAGCTATGTACAGAGAGAGTCGACATGCGAGACTGACCTCCAGCTCGTACTGGACCATGTCGAAGGAGTCAGAGGAAAAATAGACCTCCTCGATGCTGTCGATGATCTCCTGCTCTGCGGCTGGGTCTAGAGGCTGCTCCCGGAGCTCTCGCATCTCCTCCTGATGAACACACAGTAACCATGACACACATATGTCAGCACAGAGCACCATCACACACACAGTGCACCATCACACACACAGGGCACCATCACACAAAAAGGAGCTGTTGTGATGAAGTTATAGTTTTTAAGTTATGACAAGGTGCATTTGAGCATTGGAGATGTAGCCAGACTAATAATAAAGGGTTCTCAGTGTGTGAATGAAACAAACACAACGCTGGACATCTTTTTGAACAGCATTCTAAGGAATCAATTTTGCATAGTAAAGAATCTTTAAAGATAAATCTTAAAGTTCAGGAACATGCTTTTATTTGTATGTTACACAATAGTACTACAAAATTCTGTCAAGATGCAGCAACATTTGATAGGAGAATTTGATCATATTAAAATAATGACAGCTACACTAGTACTATATATTTCAGAATATTGTAGAGGTATAAACTAGAGTCTAGGTTTTTTATCATGAAAAAGCCATTTAATTTTTGGCAGGGGTCACTATGTAAGTAATGGCAGCCTTTGCTATTTGATAGTGGTGACAGTTCAAATGGTTTATGTTTTATTGTGCCACCATATGGCAGAGTTGTGAGCACTGTGCTGAGCATGCTCACACAGGAGTCTAGGTCTCACCATAAACTTTATCAACTTATCATTTAATATATGACAAATGGAACATTTCTTTTCCAGGGTGAATATTTATCATGGGGACTTTTTTGTACTACTGGGGGAATATTTGTTGTGTTTTATACTTTTCTGAACATTTGAATTGTGGAGGGTTGAGTGTTTCATTACTGCTGGAGCTCATGTTCATCAATAGTACTGTGCATCCTCCTTTAGGGTATAATTTTATTCATTATTATTAGCATGTCTATTTTTTTCACCAATATATCACATTTGAAAATGTGTAGTGGTAACAACCTCCTCCTAACCTGACTGGGGATCCTCAGGCTCTCCACAGGGCTGAGGTCAGTCATGTTCTCCTGAGGACTCTTCAGACCCTGCCACAGAAAACATGTGAGAAAACACAGGTATCTTCACATATATCTAAACTGTCTTTTAATCAAAACACGCTTAAACAAAATACAACTAAGGTGTAAAAAAGAGTGCTAGACTCCCACAGAAAGTTTAGAAAAAATACATCACATTGACAAACTAGAGAGCGACCGATATGAGCTTTTTCATGACTGATACTGATTGTTTAGATTCCTGAGAAACCCATGGCCAATAAGCTCTGCCAATTTGATATGTGGGGATGATTTGTATTATATTCCTGAAATTATTTAAATTTACTAAAACCTCACCCACAGCCCTTTTTTGCCACAAACATAATAGAGCAGTGTAGCTATATTTTGTGCAGTGTCCTCTTTGCACTCAAGTGTTCTAATACAGCTTTGTGCATATTCTTTAGGCTTCAGGTTTGCCCAAACTAATATCGACCTGTGCTGGAGATATAAGACCGATAGTCAATGCACTAAAAAGGGCAAATACCAGTCTATCTCTACTGGTAACATGGGCATTTCTCATTTCATACTCAACATGTATCTACAAAACAAAAGCCATAACTAGGATGAGGTGTTCCCTGGTCAGCCCAGAGACATAGTCCCTCCAGAGTGTCTTGGGTCTTCCCCAGGGCCTCTTCCCGGTGGGACATGCCCAGAACACCTCCCGAGGGAGGCGCCCAGGAGGCATCCAGAACAGATGCCTGAGCCACCTCAGTTGGCTCCTCTCAACGTGGAGGAGAAGCGGCTCTACTCCAAGCTCCTCACCAAATCTCTAAAGGAGCACCCAGCCACCCTGTGGAGGAAACTCATTTCGACCACTTGTATCCGCAATCTCGTCCTTTCGGTCATTACCCAGAGCTAATGACCATTGTGAGGGTAGGAACATAGATTGACCAGTAAGCCGAGAGCTTTGCCTTTCGTGGTGAAATGCGGTTACATCTCTTGTGTCTGCACTCAGTGTTATTGTGCTATGGTTTACACAGAACTTCTGTATCTACAGGGGGTTATAGGATGGGGTTTAAACCAGTTAATTCCACTTTATAACACTGCAGCGACTGCAAGATGTTTAATGACACATCTAGAGCAGGACATGTGGAGCAGGACATGTGGAGCAGGACATGTGGAGCAGGACATGTGGAGCAGGACATGTGGAGCAGGACATGTGGAGCAGGACATGTGGAGCAGGACATGTGGAGCAGGACATGTGGAGCAGGACATGTGGAGCATAGGAGACTGTTTGTTTGCATTTGGAATTATGGGCTCAGCCCTACATTCCCACAACTCTATGCCGATCTTTTCTAAGATTTTTCAGATTTTTCTCAAAACGAAATTCTAATTCAAGTCATTTTTATTTTTATACCGCATTTAAAGGGATGTTTTCAGAGTCATTTCAATCTAGGTTCCTTTGCACCATGACCTACATTATCTGTAGGCAACTACTGCTGGATTTGGGGGACCAGACGTCCTGTTGACCCGGGACATTTCCCAGTTTTAAGACCTGTGTCTCCTGTTCCAGCAGATTCATACAAATTCACTGATTTGTTCCAGTTTTATAAAAGAATTATCTCAAGTGTCCCTATTTTGGACTAATTTGATCCTGTAGCAGTAAGGAGAGACATGCATTGTAATTTGTTTAGACAAAATACAGAAAAGCTGCTTAAAAATGATCAAAACACAAAGAAAATGTGTCTACACAGGAACTAGACCGGGAATAAACCAGGACTAAAGCAGGTACTAGATACATTAGCGCCAAGTGCACAAGTTTTCCTTAATTATACATTCATTTCAGTCACAAGTCAGGTTACTCTATGCTAGAGAATAGGTTAGGTGTAATTGACGACCAAATTGGGAGAAATAGGGATAAAATCCCTCAGAAATGAGGGAACATAGGCAGGTTCCCGGAGTTATGAGCAATGGCACAGCGCTGCACGTCCATGTCTCATCTCTGTTCCAAGGAACAGTTGAAGCAAAAAGCAGCTAGAGAAATGTCCTCCTTCATGTCGCCTGCTTTAATATTTCTCTCACACACACACACACACACACACACACACACACACACACACACACACACACACACACACACACACACACACACACACACACACACACACACACACACACACACAGCTGTCATCTGAGCACCTGCCCCTGCAGCTGAGGCTAGTGCTAATGCTAATGCTATCGCTATCCTCCGGACTGCTCTCCGGGCTGCTCTCCATGGCTCCCCGCTGATCTGCGTCTCTCCGCGGCTCCTGGACATTCACCAGGCCGCGTTGTGCGCTCACCTGTCGGGCCATGAGAGACTTGATCTTCTGCATGCTGGATGTGCGCTGTGTCCGGGGGGAACGGTCAGATATACGGGCTCAAAGGAGAGATCAGACCTCCGCCCCGCAGAAGGCAGCCATGACAGAGCGGTCATGTGACTCTCCCGGCCCCGGTCCCGGCTTCGGTCCTAGTGTGAGCAGGGGCGGTCCGGCTGGTGCTGCCTGCTGGACTCTGAAGAACACTGCGGCTGATAGAAAATACTGCAGACAACGAGCAAAGGTGCAGGGTCTTATTTCTCCTGGACTGAGACAACTTCGCATTGAAGGCGTTGACTTACTACATAATTACCAAATAATTTCTTCCCAAAGTCAAAAAAGTAAAAAAAAAAAAAAAAAACATATAAAGAATTATGTGACCCTTATGTAAAATAAATAAACTGGAGATTGTCAGATGCCCTTCCACATGCCTGTATCTCTGTGTCAGATGTGTATTTATTTTATTTTATATGTCTTTGTTCTCTCTTGAAGTATACTCTCTTTTATGTGTGCTCCTTTTTGCTGTTATGTAGAAAATAAAATACAAATAGATCAAATGGAGGTGTATTGTTGTTGTTATTTTATTTTTATTAAAATTTAAAAATTCCACTCGTTCTGATGTCATGTCTGTATGCAGAGAGTTGGCGTTCCCCGTGTCGGTCACTGGGTGGTGCTCTACACTCACACACAAGGCCTAATGGTGTTTCCACGGTGTGTCGTGGTTTGTCTGGTTTAACTCAGGTTCAGTCGTGTCAAGAACTGCAATGCCATCAGTTTCATCTATTTTTATGTGTATATTTCATTTATTTACTATTTTTCTAAGTAAGTCAATTGAGAACATCTTCTCATTTACAATGACCACCAGGCCAAGAGGCAATATCAAACAGAAGCACAAGCTGAACACACACACACACCAACCAGAACATGAGACAGTGAATAGAGACATAAAACAGTGAAATATTTGCAGATTAAATATATGACATGTTACAAAGTTGTGCAATTATCCTGTAAAATACTCTGAATGGAGCAAAAGTCGATAGAGGTAAAAACTCACTTCACTGCGTCACTTGTTGCAGAGAACTGAAATGAGGAGCGGCCCAAAGTTTCACCTCATCCCCTTCCCCGTGGGTCTACAAGCCAACTACCATCAATCTCTACTGAATTATTACCAAATCCACAGAATCCTAGAGTTCCAGAACTGAGCGCTATACCTAAAAGAACAATTAAACCATTTGGGCAGACGTATTCATTTTAAAGAGAAGGAACTTGAATCAGCTCAGCTTGTGTCGAGTTTTATCAAGCAGAATTTGTCCACGAAGGATCAGTTAGGGGAAGGTTCTGCACAGTGTTGGGAAGTTTACTTTTAAATGTATTCCCCTACAGATTACAGATTACATACCCCAAAATGTAGTTTGTAACGTAACATAATGTAAGTGAGTAATGTAATCTGAATACTTTGGATTACTTGATTACTTGAGAAGCAAAGACTAGGATGGTTTAGTCCTGGTTTAGTTCTGGTTTCATCCTGGTTTAGTCCTGGTTTAGTCCTGGTTTAGACCTGGTTTTAGACCTGGTTTAATCTGGTTTAGACCTGGTTTAGATCTAATTTAGACCTGGTTTTAGACATGGTTTAGTCCTGGTTTAGTCCTAGTTTAGACCTGATTTTAGTCCTAGTTTAGACCTGATTTTAGTCCTGGTTTAGACCTGGTTTAGATCTAGTTTAGACCTGGTTTAGACCTGATTTTAATCCTGGTTTAGACCTGGTTTAGACCTAGTTTAGACCTGGTTTTAAACCTGGTTTAGACCTGGTTTTAGACCTGGTTTTAGACCTGGTTTTAGACCTGGTTTTAGACCTGTTTTAGACCTGCTTTAGATCTAGTTTAGAACTAGTTTAGACCTGGTTTAGACCTGGTTTAGATCTAGTTTAGATCTAGTTTAGTTTCCTGCAATGAGTGGAATTACTGGGAAAAATAAATAAATAAATAAAAAGGGGGATATAGCCCAAAATGTGAAAACGGGAAAACAGGAAAATACCACCATCTAATCCATTTATTTCAACAAAGTAACTGTAATCCAATTACCACTCACTGAAACAGTAACTGTAACTGAATACAGTTACTCATCATTTGTACTCTGATTACATAATTCCAATACATGTAATCTGTTACTCCCCAACACTGGTTCTGCAAATGTGGCTACCTCCTTCTTCTGTGAGTTGCTTGTGTCCAAAATGTACACTCCAGCTCCCTCAAAAATAGAACATCCTGATTCTAGCACTCAGTTAATTGCAGTTCAGTTTGCCAAGACAAGGCTTCCTCAAACTCCTAAAATACCCCAAATGTAGCGGCCTGTAGCATCTGCCCCAAGTTTACACACTACCTGCCTCCCAGGCTCCTTCACCAGCTACACTATCTTTCAGTCACCACTTACCTGCCCAGGTAATCTGTGCCTGCTAATGTGATACACAGCCAGGCTACATCCCCTGTTCAGCCTCAGTCTATGTTCTTACAATCACAGAACGCAAATATGACAGATTTGTTAATAGCCTCTGCTTATGGTGTTCCTCACCCAACACGCCCTGGATTTTGCACAATTAAAAATGGCTTTAGACAATCTACACTGGAAAAAAACAATATCTAAGTAAGTTAAAATTACTTAAATTAAGAACATTTTGCTTTATTTGAGTAGATTCAACTTGACAAGTCAAATTATCTACCAATGGAATGAGTTTTTCTTAATTTAAGCAACACTGGGTTTTGTTTATTTTAAGTGCAAAGTGTTGTTGTTTTTCTTCTTCTTCTTTTAAGTGTTGCAAGATGTAGTTTCATATTAAAAAGTTTGATTCCACTGGCAGGTCATTTTACTTGTTAAGTGAAATTTATTCAAGTCATGATGAAACTTTTTAAATTCAAATCATCTTAACATGACTAGATTTAGTTTTTTGTGTACTTAACAGCCATTCTCATCTGACAGAACACCAGACACACCAGAGCACCTCAAACATCCTGGACCATAAAAACTTGCTAAATCTAGTATGCATAGTGCACAGTCATACTCTACAGGCCTTAAGGCACTACAAGAGAGATCTGGCCAACCAAGGCTGCTAGTACAGAGTGAAATTGACACTTTGCTAAATACACTACTGGTTAAAAGTTTTAGAAGACCCTAATTTTTCCAGTTATTTATTGCAATTCAAGTTTTGCAAGTGCAATGAAGAGTTTGAAATGGTACAAAGGTAAGAACTGAACAGACACAGGTTTAAAAAAAAAAAAAAAAAAAAAAAAAGATAAAAACACAAGTCCAAGTTCTGCCAAAACGACCTCAGGAAAAAAAAGAACAAGACGGTGAAGCTTGAAAACCAGCGTCCAGCAGCACAGTGTCCAGACTTAAGAGTGAAGCAGCCTACAAGTGCTGCACATTTATGGAACTTCTGCAACAGACTTGGGAAGAACTTTCTGAACAATATTTGATTTCTATTGTAAAAATTGTGTTCAGCTGTTCTATCTGCCAAAGGTGGACACTTCCATGAATCAAAGGTTTTGAATACATTTTGGTCAACAATAAACAGTAAAAAAAAAACTGGAAAAAAGTGTGGGGTTCTAAAACTTTTGACTGGTAGTGTACCTCTGTTTAGGGATGTAACAATAACTGAAATATTGTGATATTGTATCGTCAAAAGTCTCACAATAATATCGTGGGCCATCACAATATATCAAATTACAAGTTTCTTTGCTTAAATTCATTGTTATGGTGCAACAACAGCGTAAAAACAGACAGAACTACATAGACGATGATTCTTTGCTCTCTTTTAGTCCAATCTACACATTAAAACAACTTTTATTAAGCACTTTTAAATCTTAATTATTTGGATTATGACAGAATAGTAGTATATTCACAATTTTGTTAGCGTCGGCAAACTATTGCAATAAATATTGTATCAAGAGATGCATATCGTGAAAATATCGCATCAAGAGATTTGGATATCGTTACATCCCTACCTCTGTTTTTGGATTGGTGATGTAGAAACATTTGAGTATTTTTACTGTGTGTCCATTTGCTTGTAGGAATGCTGCTCTCCATAGAAGGTCCAGATGGTCCCAGAAATCAAATGTGGTTCTCATGTTGACCAGCTCCAATTGTATCCAAACCCCCTACTATATTCATGCAGTCAGTGTGATAATAATACAGTCAGTGAGTGCAGGCATGATCTATGGTCTATAGGCTGACAAACAGTTCAGTTAGTGTTTTTGTCATGATATTGTCTCTTGCATTACCTTTTTGGTCAAGTAATTTCTGCTCTTAATTTTCCCGTTTGGGAAATGTGTCCTTTATTTAACTCATCGTTTAATACTATCCATTAGAGTTGTCACAATACTACTATTTCATTAATATTTTATACAATTCCAATCTCTATTTTGATGCTAAGGAAAGGACGTGTTACTCAATACTGATTTTGACACAATATTGATTTGATAATTAAAGACAGTCTGACTGTAGACTATATTTTTCAGTTTCTAATTTCATATTTCTGATCGTATATGCCAATTGCTTGTTTAAATGAGTATCTATAATAGTTTTGGTACTTAATTAGTGTCTCGGTTGTAACAGTGATGGAGTTAGCAATTTGAGGGCCCTTAGCGAACTTGAGTTTGGGGCCCTCACTATAATGCACTGTTTTTGTTTTGTTGTGTTTTTAATATTATTGTCTGTTTTTCCCCATTTTTCATGAGACAAGCACATCTCTATTCATTTGAACTATGGTGGATTGGAAACTTGTCTTGTTAGTAGATTGATTACTAGATAACCAGAGCTGAAAGTACTTTTTTTTTTTCTTTTTTTTTTTTTTTTTTGCGAGTACAATTACATTTTTGTTTACATCCATTACATATGATTATTCATGGAATGGAATCGGCCACATCCATAAAGTTCCTTTCCGCACTGTCCAGACAGTGAAGGAAGGTTTGAAGAGTATGACAGGTAATTCTCTGAGTACTAGACTCTCACGTGTCCTGTTTAACTACTGCCTCACATCACAGACCGCTACTGCACGTACACCAGCAGAGTTGTTGATGGGATGTCTAGGCTGGATCTGCTTTGCCCTGACCTGAAAGCAAAGG